TACCTATCATTATATATCAATGACTCTGTTGTATACGATATCGATCGAATAATAAAAAATCAATTCTATTACTCCGTTTTTTGAAATTGAATATTTCATTAAATATACTATTCAAATAGAAAAGATAAGAAAATGAATCACAAACAAAACTATTGATAATGTAAGAAAAAAAATTGAATTTAACAATTTATGGTAAAATTGTTTTTCGTTATAAAATCATTATATGCTGTGAGTTAACAATCGAGGAAAAAAAAAATATTTCAAAATGCACTTTGCACGTGTTATTGATGTTGTCATATAATCCCGCAAGATCCAATATATTTGCAATAAAAAAAACAAGTTTCGAGAGCATTTAAGAGTCAAGACGTAACTTGGCGATTCAAAATGTAAAACTTGTATTTTATATATATATATGTATAACTTTGCAAAATTCGTCATACATATGCAGCGTGACACATTTATATGGTACAAAAAGTCAGAGCTCAATATTCAGAAAAGAGAGAAAGAGGATTGTAAAATTTGAAATATATGAGCGAAATTTATGTTTGCAATTTTCATGACACGAAGTGGAAATATTACGTATGGCTTGAAACAAAAATATCAAGGTTTCTTATCGAGAGAGAGAGAGAGAAAGATGAGATTCAAATCGAATCGATGAATGTATCAGTTACGCAAGTCTTCGATATATGATCAAGAAAACTTTCCAACTGCTTCATATTCGATATATATATATACGGCAAACAATAATTTTATTCCCAGAGAATCTGATAAAATGAAAATTCATTGCTTGTAAACGAGTTGTATCCAAGTCATACAAAGATTTATTATTTCAAATGACGATATTATTCCAATGGAAATATTCCCTTAAGTTTTGAAAATAAATTAATCATTAATCAATAAAAAAAAGAAACAATTATTTCTTATAAAAATGTTAATTATCCTTTGAGATCATTTACAATAATAAAAAATTTCCAAAATCAAAATCAAAATTAAAACATTTTTGAAAAAAACGTTTTCAAAGGGACCGTTGCCATAGTAACAGTTGCTAATTGAATATTAATCATCGCAGTATTTATATATCATAAAAATAATGATCATCAAAAATTTTTGATGAACTTTGGTGTATATTGCAAAATCAATATGGATCTTTTTGTAGATCATCATTAATCATCTAAAATTTGTTTCTAAAAGAATAATTATGAAATTATGTCTAAATCCATAACAATAGAAAGTTTTCGTTTTTTGTAAGACAAAATGTCAAGGGCAGTAGAACATAAGAAGAAAAAATGATTCTGCGTATATGTAGAATATGCGGGGCCCCATTGTGTATTTCTATATATACATGCATATTTAAGCTTGAGTATAGTAAATTACGTAAATATACATTTCTATTATGACAATTCTAGTTTTGAAATGAAGAAATCCTGCAAAGTCACGTACGACCCATATGTGTAAAATTACTAAATTGTTTAACAAGAGACTATATCTACATACCAAAATAATGTGTATTTTTTTTTAATGACTATCATACCTCTATTTAATAGGGTCAATAATTACGCGCTGACGTTTTTTTTTATTCTAGGTCATTTTTTTTACGCTTTGTCAACTTTTTACACAAAAAAATGTCATCTTTTGTTTTGGATTTTTTTCCGAAAAAAAAATAATTTAGAACCTACATAATTTTTTTACAAAAAAAAAAATTGTGATTTACATTGAAAATATAATGAATCCCAGGCATTGGGATGTATTCCTCATCATCATTAAGGAAAAAATGAGAGTAGATTTAATTTTGAAACATTTATTATTAACTTCCTTGAAATCAGCGTGAGAAGAAAAAAAAATGCACAATATTCTCCATGAAGATTAGAAAACCAATATATGCGCGCTTCGTGAACTCGTTTTGATAATATGTGATCTCTTCCTCTCTCTTTCTTTTATTTTCAAATCCTCTCACAGACTGGTTCATTTCAACCTGTCGCCGCTTGTTGGCCGACTTATTGACAACATATGAATATGAAAAATGAGTACGAAAATTTCTTTCTTTTATAAAATCCGAACAATAGTTGACAGCACCTGAGCGAAATTCCACCCCCCCCCCCCCCAACCACCACTCTCATTCTTCCTGACTTTTATTATACCTTTGTCGCGTAACGTCAGCGAAAGGTGACAAATGACTTATATTCTTTCTTATGAGAATATAATTTGACCATAAATAAATATTTTTTTCTAATATTCTTATTTTGAGAGGAAAATGTAATTTTTTTGCTTTAAATAAAAATCTTCTCATTTTAAGAGGTGATTTTAATTTTGAATAGATTGTTAATTTAAATTCTAACGTTTTGTAAATAAAAATTTTAAACTTTAAACAAAATTTTTGAATTTATTCAAATTGAAGACGATTTTGCTCAGCCCTTTCACGTGTCACTCGATCGCAAGATAATATATACGTGCAATTGCGATAGAATATGTCGAAAGACTGAGTTTTAACCGATGGGACCTGTGACATATCACGATTGCTCGTGCATTTATAGAAGATTCTCTAGTTTATATATATATATATATATATATATATATATATATATAAATTGAAACTCTCCCACCTTTAACACATGCATATACCCGATAAATGTATGTCTATTTAATTTCTAAAACGGGTTTTGTATTTTCAAATTTAATTTACAGTTAAACCGGACACAGTGTGTGAATTAACTTTGACCATATAATCGTGTATATACATCGAGTGATTTCTTGACGCCCAGTATGGTTGCAATTACCGTTACAATTAATGGCATTTCATTCCAAATGTATATCTCTACTTCCTCCTTCTGTTTTTTTCTTTTTCAATTTCTGTCCACTTTTAATTTAAGTCACTCTTCATTTTTTTCTTCATTTTTTTTCGATCCAATAAATCTTGCTTCTTGATAGCTTAATGAATAAGGAATTCACAATTTTAATATTATTCATAAAAATTCAAAAGTGTGAAAACTTGAAATATATATTTAATTTAGAAATAGTAATCTCATATTGAGATGAATAATTCTCTTTCACTCATTTTGTCACTCATATTATCTATATTCAAAAAGAAAAATATTCATGACTTTAACAATAGTTTTATAAAAATGAATGAAATTCATTTTTTTTTTCTAAAATGTATTTTCTTATTATATTCTTCTATTTAAAAAAATGATATAATGGATTTTTTAATATATGCGAACATAAATAAATGACTCATAACGCGCACAAAAATTTTCTGTAATTATTCTACGAACTTACGTCAAAGTGTTACTTCAACTGCTTTGTACAAATTCAATATTGATTTTACAGCACGTCATAGATGTACTATTTTAAATTTAAAAATAATAAAACTTATAAAATATTGTTAAATTTATTAATAAATTATATAGTAAAATTATATAGTTATTAATTTCACGATTATATTCTCATTTTGAGAGATGAGATTTTAATATTATAAAAGGATAATTCTCCTCTCAAAATGAAATATATTTTAATTTAATATTTTTCTTTGTTAAAAAAAAAAATGATAATAAATCGACTCGATATTATTTACAGAACAGACGATAAGAAAAGAAGCGCTTTGAATTATATAAATATTCGAGAATGAAAGCGCATATACATTATTGTAATCAATACATCTACGTTTTAATGGAACAATTTTAATGGCATTATAATGAGAAAAATGAAACATTGCATCGTTTACTTGAAAAATATTCAAAAAGTCAATGACCTTTTTAATTAAAACAGTCACACATTCAATAATTTTGAATATTTTTTTGTATATTCGTTTATAATGTCATAATAAAAAATAAATAAATAATAGTAATAATAATAATAAATAATAATGGTAATAATAAGAATAATGATAATACCAACAATAATAACAATAAAAATAATTATAATAAGAAAATATTAACAAATAATGGGAATAGCAAATAATAATAATTACAAATGTAAAAAAAATTTATAACTTTAATGAGTGCCTATACAAAAGCGCAAAAAAATAAATAATAATAATTGTCTGGAAATGTTTAATATTCGTTTTGCACACTTAAAAAAAACGAGACGTAGATAATTATTCTTTGCATTAATGTAAGAATAATAAAAAGTCTAATATCATGAAATTTAATACGTACAAACCGAAGTATATATATACATATATATATATATATTATGAAAAATTACATAATAAATTAAAAGAACGACATTTCATATCGTATCTTAATTATATATGTCCCACGAATCTCGACTATCGAAGAGACGAAAGAAATAAAAAATATCAGTAAATCAGCTCCTTTAGTCTTTAAATGACGCATCAGGTAAATTAAAGCAAACAGTTACTATATTCACGAGAAAACATTACGTCAGATATTATTTCATTTTTCCGGTACGACACTTAAATATAGGAGGTCAATTATTATAAAGAATCTTTTAAAAAAACGAAAAGAATTTGTGGCAAAAAAAATTTTTACGTTTAATTAATTAATATTTATTATTAGTTCTTTACAATTAATATTTATCTCATATAATATTTACTATCATTCATTATCATGAGTAAGTCAAAAAGGGGAAAAATCTCTGAAATATATAAAAATCAAGAAAATTTTTTGTACACAATAATTTGTGTCAATGAAAGATTTTTTTTCTGAATATAACATTTCTTTTTATCTTAAAAAGGCAAAAAAAAAAGTTGCTTGAATATTAAAAGTAAAGACCACCTTGACTGTGCCTATCGTGTACTATATCGTCTAAAATGGTCACGTACGAATATATTATTTTATCTTAAAGAAAAATATGCATTCACGAGATCAAAAAGAAAAAAAAACTCTCTCATGAGTATACGAGGTATTTCCAGAATGTATGTCTAAGAATTAAAGAAGTAGACCTATATAATTGAAAAAAAAAACGAAAAAAGTAGAATTCACTGAAAGTTAACAGCATAAATCCGTGGAGACGAAAATTACTGAAGAAACCGAGAAACATACCATAGAACGTGCCATAGAATACACACCAGACGATTATATTTCGAAAGAGCACGTAATTTCTCGAAATACAGGAAGCACTAAGAAAAGAGAAAATACACATTATTAACACATTTGTTCTCGGGAAAATGGTAATTATAAATTTTTTTTTTTTGATTCTCATACAATTTTCTATTCAATTTGTAACATTAGTTTTCATGCTCGTTTATACTCTTTATCGCACTAAAACTCCCAATATCAACAATATTGCAAAATCATCTAAATTGTATTTACTCTTGCAATTAAATACAATTAACAATTAAAAATAATTAACAATTAAACATAAATCAAAACAATTAAAAACATTAAAAATTCTTGTAGAGTACAAAATTTAGACAATAGAGTTTATTTTTACACATACAGAAATAAAAATACATTTTGAAATTTTGAAGAAATGTGCAAAATTAAGAGAATGAAAACTAAATGATGCTTTGAAAAAAACATTCTCAAGAATAACGAGAAACAACGATCGGTATCATCTGCTCGTTTGTAAAAAAAAAGAAAAAAAAACAGCCGGATATGGGACAGACCCTCTAGGGTTAAGAGACATTAAATGAAATAACGTCCACACTAATGAGTCATCAACTTGTAGCGGTGACTTTTGTATTCTTTAATTCGTGCATATATTGCCTGCATTACATAAATTACTAAAAAGTTCTAATATGGTAAAAAAAATGCAGTGAAGCTAGCTGTAGAAAAAAAATTAGGGTGGTAGGAAACGATCGGAATACGATATTTGTTAACTTAAGTTGACAATAAGTAACAAAAAAAAATAGTAACAATTTTTATAGCTATAAAAAATGTTCAGCAGCGTGGGGTAAATGTGGAATTTTTAGATTTTTTTCAGAAAATCGAGTGTAGAATAAAAAATAAGGTGGTAGGAAACGATCGGAATACGATATTTATCAACTTAAGTTGACAATAAGTAACAAAAAAAATAGTAACAATTTTTATAGCCATAAAAAATGCCCAGCAGCGTGGGGTAAATGTGGAATTTTTAGATTTTTTTCAGAAAATCGAGTGTAGAAAAAAAATTAGGGGGGTAGGAAACGATCGGAATACGATATTTATCAACTTAAGTTGACAATAAGTAACAAAAAAAATAGTAACAATTTTTATAGCCATAAAAAATGCCCAGCAGCGTGGGGTAAATGTGGAATTTTTAGATTTTTTTCAGAAAATCGAGTGTAGAAAAAAAATTAGGGGGGTAGGAAACGATCGGAATACGATATTTATCAACTTAAGTTGACAATAAGTAACAAAAAAAATAGTAACGATTTTTATAGCCATAAAAAATGCCCAGCAGCGTGGGGTAAATGTGGAATTTTTAGATTTTTTTCAGAAAATCGAGTGTAGAATAAAAATTAAGGTGGTAGGAAACGATCGGAATACGTTTTTTTGAATATTTTGAATTTTTCTTATCTGACTTATTTTGTTTGTATATCTTTTGGTCACTAATTTTTTTTTATTTATTCTTTTTTGTTTTATAAACTTGGGGATTTCAAAGAAAATTGCATTCTCACGGTCAAATGATGTCAACTATTCAATATAAAATATGATCAATTTGAGTGCGCTTTATATATTATTATGAGAGGCGAGAATTTGCAGAATCATTTTATTGTCTTTTGCGGGATTTTGGCACAGATTCTAAATCAAAGGAAGTCAACATCAATCACTGATGCATGAAAATATATACTTCGTCTCGTACCGTAAGATATGTTTTTTTTTTGTTTTTGTTTTATATACTAGCGGCTCGTTGCGCATGACAAATAACGTGGAATTTATATTTTGCCATCATCAAGTGCGCGAATACAAATTAATCTCAATAATCAATTTCGATAACAATCTGAGACAAGGAAGACGTTAATAATATGCACGTTTTCTCTTTTGCAAAAAAGAATTATTTATTAGCACGTGGAAAAAAAGATTTTTTTTTTCTTAGGATATTATTTATGGAACAATTTATTTTCGGTATTTTCAAAATATATTTTATTAAAAAAAATGGAAAAAAAGTAATTCAATTTTTGTTTAGAGAAAAAAAATTGTAGAGAATATAAAAAAAATGTATTTTACTTGAAAATATAAAATATTTTAGGAAAACATGTGTATTTTAAAACGTGATCATTTTACTTGTTAACATTGTTCAGATAAGCATTTTACACTTAAATGATGACGGCATATGTAATGTGTAAATTCTCTTGTACGACATATTCCATCGTTCGTAAATCCCCTTATATGATAACATTCATATATTTCAAGAAAAATATTACGTGTTTTATAACAAAATTTCTTTTAATTTATCTATAGTTAAAATTTTTAGAATTTATAAGATACATTTTTTTTTATTTTTTTTATTATAGGTATTTTTTCAGCTTCAAGTAATTTTTTTTATAATAATAATAAAAAAAAACTAAATTCGAGGTACAAAAGACATAAATGGAAAATGTGTATAGACAACATGTGAAGAAAATAAGGAAAAAAAGTTGATCAGTTTAAAAGGATGTCCTATTGGGGTAAAAATGTTGGATGCACTGTGTTTTGTATTGTAAAAGGGCAAGACCTCTTTTACTCACCTGCATCAGAAATAGAGAGAAAGAGAGAGAGACTTAAAAAGTGAAAAAGAAGAACGGAAGAGATGAGAAAAGGCACAGCAACAGAGAATAATAGGAGGGTGAAAGAAAAAAGAAAACAGGGTATAGACTGAGTCAGAGTTACGGAATTTAAAGAATGCTAGAACACGCGGGATCACCAGTCGAAGCTTCATAAGATACACACCTTTAAAGCCTCACATTAACTACACTCGTAAACTGCCTTTTGTACCATACAATTTCACACTATAGTTTTTTTTTCTTTTCATCTGAAATGCTTTGCTTCACTCTCGGTTGGTTTGTGCAAAAATTATTTTATAACATATTTTAATTATATGTGACGCGCAAAAAGGTATAGCAAAAATGATTTTTGAATTGAAAATAGAGGATTCTTAAGTCTTCATTCAACAATAACTGATTTTGATTTTACATAATTAAAAATCGTTCTGCTAAAACTATCACATGAACGTAATCTAAAATTTTCTGCCTCTGTTAAAAAAACAACATCATAAAGAATAAAAAAAAATTATTTCTATTACATGAAATTTTGCAACCATACTGTCCACCCACAAAACCGGTTCAAATTTTGCAATATATTTGCAAATATGAGAAGCACTGACCGACGAGACAACAATTTACTCGGTTGATCGTTTGGAATTCACTGGGTATAAGAACAGGCAAAGAAATCGAGCCATCAAAGGATAAGGATGAAAACAAGTATACAACGAACCGATATATAGAGAGAAAAAGGAAGATGATAAACGATACAAGAAGAAGACACAAAGAAAGAGAGAGAGAGGGAGGGGGGAAGAATAGTGTAAGCTTTTTCTTATAAAATTATTTTCTATAAGCTTTAATTGGCACGCTTAGTTGAAGATTAACGATATTATAAAAAAATAAAGATTCTCGTTAAGGATTTATTTCCCAATCAGGACCTGTCGCTTATATTGATCTCCCTCGGGATAACCGGAAGTGCCCTCTCCCGGATTCGAGCTCCGCTTGAATATAGAGAATAAAATGAGAAAATAGGACACTGACCTATTTTGCATTATACTCCATATAAAATCAGTATCCATTTTTCTTAACATTAATGCATTAAAATCTTGTTCTACTTTTCTCCCTAGTGGGTTTTCTTAATTACTCACAAGATAAGTAATATCGAAAATAATTCCTTTAAAGATGACTCAACCATTCTATGTGATCTATATAAATCCACAAGAGTTAGAAATCGTGTTTCACAAATCTTATCAGTTATTAATATTTGCTTTTCTTTTCCAAAGAGAGTCAATTTTTATAAGCAGGTGATATATTACTTTGTCGCACTACATTTTAGCTTATCTTTTCATATAGATATAATATGAGTGAAACCACAATCGGTTTGGAAATGGTATTCTGAGTTGCTTTCATTCTCAAATGCTTTGTTGTTAGTCCTGCCTTTGAGATGTATATGTCGAGATATCGACGATACATTTCCGAAGGGTGGACTATTCAAAAGTTATTATTCCAAAAGGTATACTATTCCACGTTTAGTAAAAATCTTTATATGGAGACAAAGTTCAATGACTCCTTTACTAAATAAAGTTACAGAATTTGGTTTAATTTTGTCCCACTATCGATCGACTATTTTCATTGGAATGAATACATTAAATGCAAAGATATCACTGAATATAAGCGGATTTTATAAATTAATTTTTAAACGAAAGGGTCAATGACATATTGGAAAAATTATTTTTATAAAGTATTTAAAAGATCGTTATATTTCTTTTCTGTTTCAAATGCAGATTTTTGATGTTCATTAAATGCTTTAGAAAACGACAATTGCAGAGGATCATCAATAGTGGTTGTTTTAGAAAACTAAATCGTAACAAATTATCTCTCTTACCGTATACAAAAATTATTATAAACAAATTTTTGTAAATGTATAATTTAATTTAATTAGAAGTAGAAAGAGAATCTGATAAAAGAATGTATTAGAGAAATGAACTATTAGAAAATTAAGCATAATTTTTTTTTCTTATACTTGAAAGTCTGTTGTTCAATGATCGATTTAATATATAAACGTTTGTATAATTCAATTGGGCCGGGTAAAATGTGGTTTCGCATCATGTTTGATGTTCTGCCGAAGTGTGTTCAATCGATGCTGCATTTTTTGCAAGCTGCAGTTAAACGATGTGGGTTACAGTGGAGACGTTTTTAAAAAGGCAAAAAAAAAGAAGAAGAAGACGAAAAATCGTGAAGGAAGGAGAAAAAGAATCGGTCAATGACCAAGTATTGAGCCTCAGGCACCAAAACCCTGCATCCAAACTCATTTCGCCAAGTCTTTTACATGCGCCGCACCGCCATCAGCTTCCAACCTGTATATGAACTCAATTTTTTTTTCTTCCTTCACATGATCCTTATCAAAAAAAAAGAAATTGTCTAAAAAATATAATAATTAATCGATTTATACATTACATTTTTTAAAAAAAAATTCTCATATTTAATTAAATGCGAGAAATTCTTTCACTTTACTAGAAACTCGTGAAGAAATTAAAGGGAAAAAGTGTCATTTAAATTTTAGAAAGTTGACAAATTAGAATTTAGTGAACCTTGACATTGTGGGATATATTATCATATGAGAGAGAGGAATATTTTCTATAGTTTAAGTGACGCTTTCAGAATCAATAAAATGTTGCATCTTTAAAAATGAAATGTCGATTTTCAGATTGAAGACATGTTTTGCAGAAACATTCATTTGGACGCACCTGCAATTGTAAATGCATCTCTCTCGTACACTCATACATATAAAACACAGAGAGAGAGAGAAGACTCATGACACCATTTTACAAAAGGTCATCATCCATAAATATTTGGTGAAACTCACTTGCGATGATGTTGCCATAAATTCAAAAATGTTTCGCTGACCCTCTAATTTCTCATGGGTATATATGATATTGATCTTGGAATATTTCTTTCTTTCCGGAAAATAAAATGAAGTTTCCTTTATAAGAACATTTTATAAATAAATATATTTTTTTAATTATAAATAAATCATTTTAAAAAAAATGTTCCCAGTCAACGAAATAATTTTTAAAAAAAGAAGATATATATACACTTATCGATAATAATTATGATGAAAATTCATTAGAAACTAATGACTATTGATAAAGTTTTTTTTTCTTCAGTTACAAGTGTTTAAATTGACATTTTCATGGATTTTATCTTGTAACTAAAGTTAAATGATTTTTTTTTTTTGAAAATGACAAGTAAAATATTTTTTTTCCGTATACAAAATTAGTATACTATCAGCGCAGAGAAAAAAAAAGAGAGAGAGAGAAACTCCATTAACGACACAACTTGTGACCTCCGGCAACCGTGAAATATTTCTTCACGAACAATACACATCGACTCGTGTGAGTCAATAGTGCCTTTTTCATATTTCACGTATTTTTCACATTAACATGACACCTAACGAATGTTCTTGAGAAGGAAGGTGATTTTTAAAAAATTTTCCATTTATATTCTTCGATATGGAAAATATCGAACTTTAAAAAAAGAACAAAATGAAAAAAAACATTAATAATTTAAAATATAAATTTAGAAAACCAAATCATAACCATAGATAAATATTTAATTTTGTAAAAATAATTAAAAATATATTCATATTGAGACTGTAGAATATATGAATTTTTGTTTGAAAAAATTAATTACAATGAAACAATGGAATTTTCTGTTTATACTGCTTGAACATTACGAATATTTCAACTTCACAACGCCCTCTCATCACTCTGATATAATTTTCAAACTTTTAATTGGATTTTCCACTGTAGTGATAATATCGACACGAGTAGTTAATTAATAAAGTCTTATGAGTTTTTTTTTCTAATTAGGATTATTATATTTTTAAAATTATTTTAATTTTTCATAAAAATTATATTATATTATTAAAAATTAAAATTTTCTATGTAAGATATTGTGATTTCTGCAATACCTATGCTTTACAGCATCATTACTCGGAACAGTGTAACTTTGACAGACATTCTAGCCAATTACATCTTGTTACTTTGACGAATTGATTTGCAGTCGAACGGCCTCTTTGTAATTTTCGAGTCCCTTTTACGAACGAGGCAGAAGCTTATTTTAGTCAGAACATATATACAGTTAAAAATGTTTGCGAATGCATCGTTTCAAATAATTTTTCATAGAAACACACACATATACACACACAAATGCAATTTTAACTGAATTAGTACAAGAAGCATTGTTAGGTCGAGCTTGAAGATTACCTTGTGAAAGAAAAGAGGGTTTTGTTAAAAAAGAATAAGCGAGGGTTGAGGCAAAATTGTTTGTAAACTGATGCTAACATGCTTCTAACTACTGCACTTATTTGGAGAGAGAGAGAGAGAAAAAAAAAGAACATAAAAATTAATACATTTCTAAAGAAAGTAAATATATGATCAATTTAAAATCAATGTTAATTTTTTTCCATATATGTAAATACATTAAATTATATATTTTTTATTATTTTAATAATTCCACTGTATTAATGTTGCAATTTACTAATAATTATCAAAAGAATAAAATAAACGTAGTCGCAATCGTTAAGGCGTTTAAAAATGCAAGTTGGATTATATGTATCGTGAGTTCGAATCCCCCTGGGAGATAAATATTTTAATTCCTATAATATTAAAATTGTTCTCTATAGACTGTCCTGTAATTAAAATCCATAATTTCAATTCATTCAATGTCAATAAATTAATTTAAAAATTGTCTCTTAAAATTGTTGAATGAAACAAAACCAAAAAAAAAAAATGTAATTTTCGTATAAAATAATGAAAATCACTGCTTAAGGAAAACTTTGTCCATATGATTTATAAGTGAATTACAAAGGGGTTGGAAAATAGAGCAGAGACGAGATTATCGTAATCGGATGAAGAGCCCGCCAAGGGTATTTATATACACATAGATTGTGAATCGATAATCCCAATTACTTTCCACTCTGATTAATTGTAGATCGAGGCGATTAATCGTTGTCACTCCAATATATACATGTACCAGGTCCTGTAAGCAACGAATGCAATAACTGATCCGCGGAAGAGTTCACGAATCGAAGATGAAATTGCGTTTTCTCGGTAGACTGACTCGTTTATATATATATATATATATTCTCGAATATGTGCATGACATACTAATCCAATTTCCACGCATAGTGTGCCGGGCACCCGAGAGCTTATCGATTTTGCAAGTTGTTCTGAACCTCGCCCGACTTTTATTATTAACTTTTCTTCCTTTTTTTTAGGGGGGTTCACTGATAATTCACCAATAGCTATCGTATATGTACAATTAATTTCCACTCGGCATCATTTCACTTTGGATTGCCTTTCTCTTCCTATATAATATTTTATCCTAATTAATATGTCAGAAATTTTGTCTTTTATAATTACTATAAATCTTAATTTGCAATGTTTACTAACATGAAAAATAAAGATTTGTGATAATTAAATTTTGAAACAAAATTTAATTTTTTTTTTTGGCTTAGAATAAGGTTTTTCAATTTATTGAGAACAATTTTTATTTTCCTCTTATAAAGGAATCATTTTTCACAATGTAAAAAAAATTAATTAATTATAAAACAAAATAAATAATATATTAATTATTTATTGGTATTATATTTAATTAATTAATACTTAATAATTGTTATTGGTATTGTCAATAATAATATACATATAATATATATATAAAATTAATAACATTTTTCATAAGTTATTTCAATGATTCATGCGGTATTATCAATTTTTATTACTATAAGCAAATTGAAAAAAAATTCTTTTCACTCAACGATACGTAAGTGGTTTAGGATATTACTCACAAGATCATTAGTTGGAATCAATCGACTTTTATTTTCTCTATTGGTAAAAAGTGAAAAGGATACTTAAGGGATTAACGAGGCGAAAAGTAAATGAATTTTATATATTCGTGCATGTAAGGAGACTATATAGTATATACAATTAAAATGAAAAATAATCGAGTAAGATAAAATTTGCATAAATTTTTTCGAAAAATTGTATAATTTAGAAAAAAAACGAGAATTTAAACTTTTCTTTAATATTTTTTTTGCCCTACTACTGAAATGAATTTTGTTTTCTAACCATTGGAGTTTCTCCCTTTTTTTATATTTTCATCATTTCTTCTCTAAAGCTTTTTTTTCCTTTTTGCCATCCAATTATATTTAATTTTATGCATTTCTTATGGATCGAAGTCTTCATTTTTTATACACGCTTCATTTAATATTTTAAATTGACAATTTATGATTTTTCATTTTGAAAACTTTTCTTCATTTGACTGGGAGAAATTTTACGAGTGAATTTATTTACATTTATTTTTTTTTTTTCATCAAAACGAAATTTAAAAATAAAATTTTTATGACTCAAATGCAGATATATTTTTATTTGAAATAAAAAAAAAGAAATAATTTATAAAAAATTGGATTTTGTTGTTTGTAGAATTGTGAAAGAATATTTGTAACAAAATTAATTTCAAAATTTTGTATAGTCACGAAATTGAATGAAATAGAATTTTTTTTCATAAAAGCGGGATATTAAAGTCATTTTCGAAATGTTCGTCTTCCGCTTTTATCGCGGGAAAAATTTACGAAACGCACTCCATGAAATAAACAACGACACGAAGATTGTCGTAATATTTTTTCTTTTTTTTTGAGGAAGTTGAGCACAAAATACTTCATTTTTGCAATTATGAAAGTTTCTAAAGTTGCAATGGGTTGCAATTTAGCTGTCGTAGTTAATTATTATTCGCTTTTCAGCATTTAAAGATTGTTATTCTTTCTCCTCTTGCCTTTTTTATTAATTCTAAATAAATAAGTTTAGTAAATTTTATATTTATAAAATTAGTTGGTTTTCTTATAAGTATGTTATTTTATTCTCTATTCATAAATTATTGTATTATAACTAAAATTTTTTGTTAATTCATTAATTTTTTATATATATACGTTAAAAATAAAACTTACGATCTAATTATCGGCCGTTAATCGTAATGTAAATCTCATTTAATTCCAGATTAATCTTTCATAATTGAAATGTATTATCACTGATAAACAATAATAATCATTACACTTTCTTGATAACACGCAATCAACAAGTTTCACAATTTAATTAAAAGATTATGTAGACGGAAAAAAAATTTATTTATTTAATTGACACAATAGGTAAATTTTTTTTTTTTTTTTAATAGAAATTCAAACACTTAAATTTTTGGCGGCTAAATGGAATAGAATATAAGCGTGAGATACACGCGCGAGAGGATCTCTCCCATTCGAAGGATGGAGTTTGACTGAATGGAGAATAAGCTTTCGTTTCCCCGAGCACATCAGAGAACAGTCCAATAGCTGCGCGCACTTGGCGTCAAAAAAATTCATATAGAATAGATGCATAGTCACACTGTTAATTATATTTACCATTTTTCTCTACATTCATTAATATTATTTTAAATTTTATTTGAAAAATAGAAATTTCATTGTCAAAAACTAATTCAACTATTAATTGTTAAATAATTATTTTTTCTAAAGAAAAAAAGAGTATTTTTATTTAAACATTTAAGAAATTGTGTTTTATTCTCATAAAAAATAAAATTATATATTTTTTATTCATATCATTTTTAACTTTATCATTATATTTAATATATTGATCTGAAAGACAATAAACCGTATGTACATACGTTGTTTTTAAATTTATAATGAATAATCTTATTTGTAGAGTAATATTATTAATTCACCTTATCTCAAAATCAAATTAAAAAGATACATATTATTCTTATTTTGAGAGGATTGAGAAGAGGTTGAATTTCCTCTGAAAAAATGAGATTACTTTCTTATGTCTATTCGTGAAAAAAAAAATAAAAAGTTTTAATTGTATCTAAACTTTCAGATTTGTAAATAGAATAATTAATAATTTACTCCTATTAGCATAATTTTGTTATTGTTAAAAAAAAATTTGAATTGTGATTTGTTAATAATTCTATATTAAGAATAAAAGACAATGATAATAGAAATAAAATTTCTAATATGTGTATAATTTGAAAAGGGGGAGAAATTTCATTTTACATTTTTCTATATAAAAATGTAGAAAAAAAAAATTATCATTAGATCAAATTTCAAATTAGATTCATAAGAGTAACGTGGGTAAGCAACTTGATAAAGAATAGGCGAAACCAGACACCGTGGCAACAATAAATATCTCGAGCACAATTATGTCTGTCGGGTTTTGTACGCATACTAACGCTATATTCACGACGGTACCGGATGTCTTGTAACAATAAGACCTTTTAATTAATTATTACGAGTGATTAAAAGCATTTGCTTTATAGTGAATATAAACTGTAAATAGCACAAATTTCTATTTTGCCTTAGAAATTAATTTTAAAAAAAAAATTCAAAATATTATGAAGATTTAAAAATACAGTATGTACATACGGTTCTTTTTATTATAGACAACTAAAACATTATTTCCCACTAATAAAAGGCGTATTTATAGTAGTTACGTTTTTTATATTCGGGAATTATTATTCAATACCTCATTCCTTCTTTTGATACTGTTAATTTTTCTGTAAATATGCTTTTTTTGTTAAAAGTAATTTTATTTTAGAGGAAATTAAAATTTTAGTAACTATATTAACTGTCTATGAATTATACATTAAATATAAATTATTTTAAAAATTATTATTATTGTTATATAAATATGATTTAGGATCACTTAATTATTTTATACACACATGTCATTTCTTGAAAAATCAAGTACGTGAGAAAATTTTTCACAGATATTAAGAAAAAATTAAAATATCTATTAAATTTCTTAAGTAATTAATCTATCGATTTAAGGATGTGATAACTAAAAGTATAACTGGTACAAAAATTGTCATGATTCCTAATTTAGCTGTAGATGCAGAATTACAACCATCTTCGCTACATGTTGTACATGCCTGCTTGTCTTTACAGTCGAAAGTTTCTTTTTTCACGCAACCTCTCTGTGTTTTAACTTCGTCGTTATCTGAAAGTAAAAAACAAAAATTAATTAACAAATTGAATATATATATAAAATATATATTTTGTCATTGCTTAATAAATACGTTTATTTAATGATATTAAAAATTATCGTTAATCTGTTTTATAATGAAGATATAAAAATACCTTTGTACTCATATTTGTAACAGATAAAATCATTGTTGGCTCTTGATGACAATTCAGATTGTCGCCTTCTTCGATTTGGTGCTGCAGCTGGTGCTGCCGTTGGTGCTGCCGTTGGTGCTGCAGCTGGTGCTGCCGTTGGTGCTGCCGTTGGTGCTGCCGTTGGTGCTGCCGTTGGTGCTGCCGTTGGTGCTGCCGTTGTTGCTGCCGTTGTTGCTGCCGTTGTTGCAGCTGTCGTTGCTTCTGTCGTTGCTTCTGTCGTTACTTCTGTCGTTACTTCTGTCGTTGCTGCCGTTGTTGCTGCTGTCGTTGCTTCTGTTGATGCTGCCGTTGTTGCTGCTGTCGTTGCTTCTGTTGTTGCTGCCGTTGTTGCTGCTGTTGTTGTTGTATCTGCTGGTGTTGTTGCTGGTTCTTCACATTCTTTTTTAAGTGATTCATCTAATTTATTTACACAATTCCCATCTTTTCCACTATCACAAACATAACACTTCAAACTTAAACCTGTTAAACAAAAGAACGAAAAAAAAATGTTAGTGTCAATAACAAAAGTTAGTTACACACAGTAATAATCACATTTAATAAAAAAAAAATCTTATTTAATTTTGAAAATAACAATAATAGGCAATACAGACAGTATTTTTAAATATTTCCTCATTATCAACCATATCTATTGTAGATACTGTTATTGTATATCATTTTTAAATAATAATTAAATTGCTTCATAATTCCAATTATAAAAAATCGTAAATTGATAATGTCTTTATACAAAATTTTGTAATTCAAAACGAATTAAATTGATTTATAAAAGAAGGGCATGTACATACGGTTTCTTTAAATATTCATTTTTGTCATTGAAACTTTAGTTACACAAATTCTTATATAAAAAAGAATATTATTTTCTCTCTAAATCTGAATTAGTAAAAATGTTTACTAATTTGAATTAGTAACTCACTTTTTGCTTCTGAATTAGTAAACATTTTTACTAATTCAGATTTAGAGAGTTAATAATAATGAAAATATTATGAAGAAATGAAAAAAATGCTTATTAAACGTACCTTGATCTATTAAAACTAATAAAATAAATGCAAAAAGCATTTTTTTGAAAAGAAAACACTTTTGATGTGACATGATGAGATGAACGAAAATCTATGCACTGTTAATAATTATTTCACAAATTGAAGAATCGACAGCTACTTATCAAGATATCCCTCAACTCGATACTATTTCAATGAAGATAAGTTTTTGGTTTATCGTTTATTATATATATGAAAAGAGAGAGATAGAATGAGAAGGAGAGGGAAGGGGTGAAAATAGCCAAAACAAAGTTATCTCAATTTTTTTTCATCAAGATTATCACCTAGGTAAAACTGATTATTATTTATCAAGCAATAAAATTTATATTATCGCAATATGGTTACTAATGATTCTGAGAATTTGAAAATATCCCATTTTTCCAAGTCTTCACGTTTAGTACTTCAACTTCTTTTGAATTCCATTTATTGATTATTCATAAAAATGATTAATTTTGTGCATTTCTTTGGTAATTTAATTAAGTGAATTAAATATAAATTTAAAATGGAGAGAAGAGAAAAATTTAAATTCGATTTTAATATTAAATAACAATAATTTTAGTAGACTTTATTTTCAATGAGATTTAGCTAATTATGTAAATTTACTAATTCTCAATAAATTAATTTTTTTTAAATTTAAATTGTGAACAATTTTTTTTTTGGGAGCAATAAAGGAGAAAAATTTATCGTGACATTATAAAATACAAAAATTCGATAAGATAAGCAATTTAAAAGGCATAGTACTTGTAATGATAAAATGTTCTTAAGATTAGAGTTTTCATTTTTGCAGTTCTTTTTAATGTTTTAAGTTTAACCCTTTACAATGTGTTTCCTGATTGTAGAGTCATAAACTTAACATGAAATAACACACGTAAAAGTAATTTAAAAAAAAAATTATAATCAATTTTTCACTTAGAATATCTTTTGAAAAAGAAAAAAATAAATATTTTTTAAAATTTTCATAATCATATCGAGTATTTTATTAGAAAAATTATATTTTATATATGTACATAATATATAGGGTAGAAATAAAATTTTATTATTTGTCAATATTTAAATGCATCGTTTTAATAATGAAAATAATAATAAAAGAGAATTTAAATTTAAAGTCACTGAAGAGTTAGCAATGCGTGATGGCATCTACTTCCCACGCAAAAGTCAGTGAATAACAATGACATAAGGATGTGCAGTTGGTACTTCATGTAGAAGCTCACGTGTGTTTTAGTGTCTACGTTCTTAAAAGTTCACTGACAGTGTTTACACGCATATCTAATATGCAAATTATTTATTATTATATTATATATTTATTAAAAAGAATTACAATATGAAAATAAAAAAAGAAATTTTATCAAAATTAAAGAAAAACAAAATTTCCAAACTATAAAATTTAAAAAAATATATTTGGATATTATAAACATTATTGTTTTATTATTTATTTATACTATAGTAATTCTTCTGATAACTCATATCAAGTAGCCTTGATATATATGTCTATATCTGTGATTCCCCTGATTTTATATGAAGGTGCAAAGAAGAAATATTTTATCATCTTTTTATATATAATAATTAATGAAATTTTTTTTCAAAATTTTTATTTGTATCATACCAATTATTTACTATACCTATATGTTTATAATTTATCTGCTAAGAAAACATGTTTATTGTTAAATAAAAATAGTAATAATTAAATAACTGAAGGAACGAGGTAAATAATTTTTTTAATGGAAAATATTCTATGAATTTAGAACCTTCTTGGTAAATATACATAAAAATTGAATTATTTATATGAAGTTCTATACTCGTGCTGCGTTTTATTAGCAGGAGAATTATAAAAATTGAAGATCATTACCACATTATATAAAGGGGGGGGGGGGGTTTATTACATATTCCCTGCATTTATATACACTGAGAGATCAGTCGACAAAATAAATGAGTACGCTCACCTTGCCCACTTTTATGTACACATTAATTGAGTAGATAATTTTCATAATCTAATCAACTTGAAGAATTTTTTTAAAATCTAAAGAATATTTATTTTTAATTTTTATTTATTTATATTGTCTTTTAGCAACTTCATATGATTTAACAGCGCAAAATTAATACACAAAAATTATGTTTCATTTATAAAGAATTTAAAGAACTGTTTGAAAAGTTAAATTTTAATTTAATTTGTTTTTAATTCTTTTCCTGAAAAAAAAAAAAAACAAAAGCGAAAAGAAAATCATCAAATGAAAATTTTGTATAACCCACAACTTTAATGAGACACGCCCTTCCGCAATGACGATTACTCATGTGCTGGCAGAAGGTCATAAAGATAAATACCTCTCGTATGTATTTAATGTATTTCTTGCAATTTGAAAAAAAAAGGATTAAGTGGTTTTCGATGTCACTGGCCTCGGCAAGTACACAGGTGCTCAACGTTTAAGCACATGTAAAAGGCCATGGATTTTTTTTTCCTACAACAGATCATACTATTATTACCGATTCGACCTCTTGTACAAATATTCAATGATATTTTTCTAAAAATAACTAATCCTATTGTTTTCATATTTTTTTTATAAATTTTCTTTTTTTTTCATTTAATCGAACTTTTAACCTGAGAGAGAAGATCATGTTACATGAAATATGGAAGTCAAATGGTGATCAAGTGAGGTCTTCTGATTATTCATATATATGTTTCATGTTACTTTCACTATATATATATATATATATATATATATGAGAAAGATCGGTGTTGAATCTTTAATCTTAAAAATTCCCATCGAAAATAGAAAGTATATACACGATTCGTCATCGAATTTATCAGGATCAGTAAGTAGATTTCATTTTCACCTGCTATATATATATGTTTACCATAAATGTGTGAAAAAAAGAAAATTACTCTCTAACTACATTTTTAGAATACCTATATTATATATCATTGCTTATTAAGTGTTTTTTTTACTGGGGACCTTAACCTAGACATTGATGCATATACATAACATTCTTTAATAAAGCAGTAATGAATAATTATTGCGATAACAATTTCCACGGAATGTATATGCCTCATAAATGTATACATTTTGTATCCTTCTTTAAATCCAATAATCTGTACTTTATCATCAATAATCCTCTGATCCTTATTTCTTCAAAATGACAATCGAAATTAATAATAATTATTATTATTTAATTATTTGTAATTTTTATTATTATTTTCTTTATTTTTCGGTTATTATTATTATCATTATTGTGTAAAAAAAATGATAATTATTAGAATTTTAAAAGTTCCATTCACTTGAATCCAATGTTCTTTTATTTGCAGAATTGTGCCACAACATTTCTAATGAATTAACTTCTATTGTTACAAATGAAACGATGATACAATAATTCACTTTTGTAATACTTGAAACAATTTACATGAAATAATACTAAACAATACCTTATTTTCTCTATATACTAAACTTTCATTAATATTATCAAATTTTATTTTCTTCATTAAAAAATTTTTTCATTGATTCATCATTTTTTTTTGTAATACGATAAAAAAAAATAATTATAACTCGCTGACAATCAATGATTTATCTTCTGTTTTTTCTTTTTTCTTTGTGAAAAAAATTTTAAGATTAAAAAACTTTTTTTATAGAAACTAAATAAAACAATTTTTTGAAGAATAAAAATAATGTGTTTATTATCAGTTTTTTTCTTGATAAGATTACATCAAAATGTAATTAACAATATAAATATGATTTTTAAATATCACACTTTTTTTTGACAAAGTAGTATAAAAAAAAATTGCCACATATATATTTTGTAGTGTTTTTTATTTGTATTTGTACAGTGAATACTATTAAATCTAATGCTTTGTTAAACATTTACGCGGACATTCACTCCTTGAAGCGGGAACCATGACCGATTTATTTACACGATACTCTCCCTGTTGTATATGTTTATTAATTAACTCCTGGGAACTCGACAAATAATAAAATTTGTTAAACCTGCGTATGAAATTTATTTATTTTTTTCAAATAAAAAATAATAAAAATCAAAAATTCATCTTTCTTTAATCAATTTGATTATTTATACAATTAATTATATATTATTAATTAAAAATTAATACTATGATACAATATTGATCTAAATTATCATATATAGGTGAAAGCAGCAAAGGTCCTAAAAAAAACGACACGCATGTAGGAGAGAAAGCATCCAACTTTATAAAATTATTTTGCTCGAGGCTCAATTCATAATTCTTCTTCCCAACTCTTAAAAAAATTAAAATTTTTTGCATGTTTATCCCATATATAAAAAAAATATTCGACTCACTCAACTGAAAGATTTGTGAAAATTAATTACCAATTACTTCCAGCTCATTATATTATATTGGTATCTTAACGATATTCAAAAATATAAAGTTCTTCAAAAATAATATTTAAAAAAAGCTTTTAAACATTCCTTTATATCGCAAAAAAGAAATTTTCATTTTTTTAATTAAATACTAGAAGCAACTATCAACAATTATAACTGATTTTAAGTATATTATTGATTGTTTAAGACAAACAGACACACGGAAAAATCATAAATAATAAGACAGACAGACATTTTTGAGTTATTTAAATATTCTTTTTTTGGCGGGACATATATTTTTTTCTGAAAGGTTTTCTCATATTTTATTTTATGACGCCTCTATATAAAAATTTTACAATATCATAAAAGTGATGTTAAAACTTTTTCGTCTTGTGACCAAGGACAAAGGAATCATCAACGTGCGCCAAGGTTTCAGTCAGGAACAAATTTCTCAACGGATATCCTAGGTTACGTGGGAAATAAGAAGTCATCTCTATTTACTGATCGTGGGGAATTGTATATTGTTGTTGGAAAAATACTATACAAAAAAACTTTTATCGCAACTTTTTTTTTTATAATTTCTATTGTTTTTGTTATAAATTATAATCAACTAAATCTTTTATAAAAAGAGATTTGTAAATTTTTTTTCAAAATCTTTTTTAATAACATATTTAATATGAAAAATAATACTAGGAAATAAAAAATTTTTTATGTTCTACGATCGATAAAAGATAAATATATCGATAAAAGATGATCTTAATAATATATTTCACATGAAGTGACATCATTATATTTATAAAAGGTGTAATAGTTAGATCCGTGTTCGTGAAACATGAAGGTGATCATACGTGTTACACTCTTTCACTGATCTAGTTTGACTTTTTCCCCTCTCCCCTCTTATTACTGTTCAACTATATACCTTACAAGGAATGATCCTTTCATTACCGCTTTTCATCTATGAAGAACTTTCTTCGTCAGTGTAATATCAACTCGTCTCTTCCGGAACAGTGCTCTATTATACAAAAAAAAAGTATAACAAGCTTCCTTCTACGAAACGGAAATAGACACAATATTGTCTTCAAAAAAAAAAAAATTACCAGAAAAAAAAGAAATTATTTAACTGAACGAAAAATAAATTGTCTAAAAATTTCAGAGACTTTTTTATCAAATTAAGAGTGAAAAAAATGATTTCAATTAAAAATAATGTGTTCGGTTTGAAAAATTCTGAAACAAATATTAATTTTTTAATTTTAGGGAGAGGGGGTAGGTTTTGGAGTTAGGGGTGGCTTCTTGATTGAACAAAAAAAAAAAAATTGTTACATGTATTTTTGTAACATAATAAAAAATTGAATTTTTATTTTTAAAAAATTATTTTTTAAATGATTCAGAAGCACCTACGTTTCAAATGAGTGCAAAACGTCGGGTCCACTCTGCCAAGTTCAGGGTTAACAAGTTTCAAACCTGTCCTGCTTACAGCAAAATGCCCCGTGAGTAAAGACTGTGAACGCACGCAAGGTACAGTGCCATAAACTTTCAGTTGTACGGCTCACCTCTCCTTTGCACCTTCTCCACACTCTTCTTATTTTCTCTCTCTTTCTCTCTCTCTCTCACTATATATATAAACGGATTTAAAAAAAATTTATATTTTATCTACATAGGTAAATTGAAATTAAAATTTAAGCTGAACTTAAATTAAAAATTTAAGAAATATATTCTATAATAATTAAAAATACAAATTAACATTTGGAATTTCAATTTTCAATGAATTTTTACATTACAAAATTTTTAGGTACTTAAAATATTCTGTAATGTAAAAATTTCCCGTGTAGAAATTACCCTACCAGGGCCCTAGTAGGGAATTAAAAGCTCATCAGGGCGACCAGAAAATGTGGATTTCCTAATCAGGACCACATCAGACGCGGCGTTTCATTCCCTAAAAGGGCAGCCTGATCCGGCCCCGATAAGGGCCCTGGCAAAATTTCTGCCCGGGTCGTTTAAAAAGAAATTCTGTAAAATTCTAATTTGAAAAATGAAAATTCGTCTAAAGTAAAAAAAATTGATTGAAATTTAGAATTTTGTGAATGTTTATAAATAAAAAAAAAAATAGAATAATAAATGTAAAATTGTTACAATCACGGCCAGCATTAGCTATCTCAGTACCTTGAAAATTTTCTTCATATTGCTTGAGTCAGGGCCGAGGACACGCAAGCACTTATATATACATGTATGATTTTCTCTCTCTCTCTCTCTTTCTCTCTCATATATAACACTGAGATTACTTCCTATATCAACATCTCTCGTATGTGATACATATATAACAGGAACACTCTCATTTTTTACAAAACAATCTTCTATAATTCATTGAACTTATACATGTCATGTGCAAAGCAAAAAAAAAAAAGTGTCGCCCGTTATTATAAATTTCCTATTAAAATAAGTAATAAACGTGACATTTTTTTTTTGCATTTTATTAAAAATATTATTCAATAGAAGTATATTTGATATCAGTAAATAGAAATTGATAAAAAAAATTGAATAAAATTAAAATTATAGACAAAAAAAAGAATTGTCAATTTTTTTCTTCTCTAAAACATATTTACTGTATATAAATTTTGTAAATCAATTTAAGTGTAAATTCATCTGAGTATGTTTAATGTGAAAAATATTTTCTAGTTAATTTAACGTGTTCGCGAGAATAACTTTATATACAGCTTCACTTTAGTCCATATAGAGGTAGAATTGACTATAAATCTTTAATGCGTAAGTCCATCCGGAATTGCTTACATATATAGCGCAAAAGGACGGGAATGATCTCATATAGGCACGGAAATCATGGTCTGCATCAGAATGTGTGAATGCGTCATTCATAATATATATATATATATTTTCATTCTTATTATTTTATTAACATTTCGCAGTAATCTTTTAAAATTTTGTATGATTATCATCAATTTTACTAAATACCAAATATATTTAATAAAGTTTCTTGTAAGGTCAAATCTATTTTAAATAATAAAATATAATTTTACACTGACGGATTGTACTAACAAGGAAGTAAAATTGAATGAATATAAGAACGAATGGAAATTGTAAATTTTTTAGAATAATGAAGAAATAAAGAATTGGTGATTTTAAAAGAATTCTTTTTTTTTGAAAATTTTTTTTCAGTTCTATTTATTCTTAGGTGCGTTCTTGCACATTCCCATACACCCTTCGCATTCTCAAGTTGAGTTTAGCGTCTGCATCCTGGAATGCGGTTGTTCCACTCTGGCAAAACTACCACCTACATATTATATACTATCGCTGTGTGATGTAAGAATGGATGCCACCAAGTTTCCCAGCAAAATATATACTCTTATATATGCAAATCATTAAGTCGGCAAATCTATTCTTCAATATCTTGCAGTGTTTTAAAAGTGATTCTCATTCAAATGATAGATACAAACAAATGACATTGATTTCAACCAGAAATTATAGGAAGACTGTGATTTTTTTTCTTTTTCAGTAGAAGAAAATTTGGTAGAAAAAAATTTCCCTTTAATCAACAACGCAAAATAATCACAGAAATAATTGGTACAAAGAAACAGTCATTTACAAATTTTCTCTATTTCTTTTCAATTTTTAATTTGTTTTAAATTATTTATTAAATTATTTTTTGGTAAATTTTGTTTTAATTTAAATATTTTTATACATGTCAGTGTAGAAAGTGATTTAATTAATTGTCACGATTTTGAATAATTTTTCATGTTAGTCATTATAACGTTCCTATATACTGTCCACAACCCCAAGCATGGAAATTGGAACCATGTCAACGGAAACGACACATCAAATATATAGAAAAGTGGGGCTTGTTCGAAACTTATATAGAAAGATTCATTGGTGATCTTATATTTTCAAAAATAATTTATTTTATACAAAGAATTCAAATTAAAAAAAAATTATTTCTTTTAAAATAAAATGACTCATTTTGAGATTTTACTAATTATATTTGTTAATATAGGCATTTATTTACAGATAATTATAACATATGAACATTTTAGTTTTCACTTGTTTTCTGTTATTCTTTCTTTATTTCACGTAAAATTCACTCGTTTGCGTTTTTACAAACGAAAGATTTTACAAAATTATTGCACGTATTTTTTTTGGTTAATCCCAAACAGTTTTCAATTGAAAAAAATTGCGAAGACAATCTTTGAAATCTGTGAGGATTTATAATATTATTCGTGTCTTAGATGTTAATTATTAATTTAGAATTTAAATTTTGGCCGATGTCACGGAAGGAGACTACTTCTTATAGGTCTTTTATTAAAATCATCATCAATATCGTGTAAATCAGGAGGATCAGCATAACCACTGTCTTCATACCGTGTGCATCGTGATCCTGGCGATCTTGGCGGATGAACAGGATGAATACTATATAAAAACAAAAATCATTCAAAAAAAAAAGATTAATATTTTTTTTTTAATATTAATAATAACTATTTTCTTAAAATAATTAATTAAAAAAAATAGTTTATCTCAGTTTAATCTACTTCTTTTTTACTTGTATATATTGAAATGTTCTAGACATTATTTTCGTTTACAATAATTGTCATATACCAGTTAGGTTACTCTATTTACTTTTAATTTAAATATATATAACATTATTATTTTCCCTCTGCATTGAAATAATAAAATTAAATTTACATATAAGTGAAATGCTACTGATATTTAAAGTATCAATGGAAAATATTAGCATACGTTTACTTTTTAATGTGACAATTTTTTTTCTTTCTGAAAGTGTAAAAACAAGTGCATATTATCGAAGAACATTTTTATTACCTGGTACATCTAGAAGGACTGGTTTCCAATGGCTCGTCATATCTTCGCGATAACATTGTAAAGTCTCTGTGTGCTGAGATTATTTTCTGTAGACGTGAAATTATTTCATAATCTGGTGAACATATTGGTTCGGTTAATAATTTTGCCACGGATGCTCGGAAACTCTGCAACTGGAATATAAATAGAAATTAAAATTTAAAAAAAAATTGCTAAAAATTGTATTTTATAAAATATTTTAAAAAAATATATATATATATACCTGTGATTCTCTACGGGTTGTTTCAGCAAGTTGTTGTCTAACTTCGAGCAATGTTTGTTTTACTTGAGTTAATTCATCTCTGACAAGTTGCATCGAATGATCGTTGATTGATCTCTCTTGTTCTGTTGTTTCACTCGTTGTTCTCAACTGATCCTTCATCATTGTCACTTTTCTATTATATCGTGTTCTTAGCATTTCACTTTCAACAAGTCTCTTTTGAAGTTCTTCTATTTTTCTACTACGTTCCAATGCAGCTATCTAAAATATATTTTGTTTATTTTTTTGACTTCGAAAATAAAAATATAATTAATCTTACTTTATAATCCGCAGCCTCTGTTAATTGTGCACTAAGTTCCCTATTTCTTGCTTTTTCATCATTCAATTGCATTTGTAAACGATCAATTTGCTTCGATAATTTTTTTGCTCTGTAAATTATAAATTATAATATTACTATATATCAATTAAATTATAATTATATTAGTATAAAAATTAGAACCTAAGATTTGCTTCATCTCGTTCACTTTGCAACATTGATTTTACTCGAACACTGTCTTCCTGAAGACTAAGTTTTCTGCGAAGAAGATCCAAATGAAGATCACGACGTTGCAATTGTTCCCGAAGTGTTCGAACTCTTCGTTGAAGTTGATAAACAACAGATGTCTAGAAACAAATAAATAATAATATTAAAATTTTATATCTAATTATATTTTTTTGTCCATTTTTAGATGATATCTATAAGGAAGTAATTTATATAATTATGTGTTCAGTTTACATTATACTTTTAGTGACAATTATTAATTATCTAAATCTAATTTACAAAGATTGATAAGAAAAAACAATTGCCAAAATCTCTGACACGTGCTAGGTATTATTAAGTTTCCAAAAAAGCAGAATTATATTCTCTATAAAACGAGCAATTAAAATTAAATACATGAGATAGTTGAATGTAAATTTTACAACATGCTGAAAATTTTACTGTTATCTTATCAATAGTTTCAGAGACTATTTTCATTTCATGAATTTTTGTAATTTCGTATTTAGGGCTGACTGAAAAAATCTTGTACTACTTAAAGTAAAATTTACAAGAATTTTTATGTCTGACTGAAACTGGATTTTACTACTGATACAAAAAAAAAATTCCAATCAATGTCTGACTTGAAAAATCTTGTACTACTGAAAATAAATTTACAAGAATTTGGATGTCTGACTGAAACTGGATTTTATTACTGATAAAAAAAATTCCAGGCAGTGTCTGACTAAAACTATTTTGTACTACTGAAAATGAATTTACAACAAAGGGGCAAAAATTTGAAAAAATGTCTGACTAAAACTATCTTGTACTACTAAAATTAAATTTACAAGATTTAAGATGTATGACTAAAACTAAATTTTACTACTGAAACTAAAAACAATTCAAGCACTGTCTGATTGAAGCCGACCTATACTACTTATATTTTTAAATATTTTTAAAGTCTAATTAAAATTGTTTTTAATTACTAATGCAAAAATGATAATCAATGTCTGACAGTAACTTACTCGTACTACTTAAATTGTATTCGCCAAAAAAATTATATGTCTGACTACATTTAACTTTTACTACTCTGTGCTTTTTCCAAAATGCAAAATAAATATAATAATCAAATCTACTTTTTGTAGAACTAAAATGCAAGAAAAATTGTATGACGTTTTTTTCTACATTTTTTTTTAAACAAGCCTTACTTCTTTTAAGCAAGGCAGTTCATGGTATATTCGTTCACGTCGAATCCTGGGAAATGTTGTGTAACTGCAACACAATAGCTGCAGCACAAAAGTGCATTTATATAGTATAAAAAAAGTAGTTGTCAAAATTTAACACACACACACACAAACAAACGCACACAACAATTACGAAAAAAATTATTATTCACAATTTTTTTTACCTTATCGACCAATTTATCTGTTTCCAATCTTGACAATTGTTCAGCGCGTACCAACAACGATTCTGTTTGAAGGTCCATGCCAATTTCTTGTGAAATTTCTTCCATTTGCATAGATTTTCCTAGTCTATCCAAAAATGCCAAAAACTATAAATAAAAATGTTTTTTTTTCAAAAATTGCAAAATTTTATAAATTGGATTTAGTAGTAAAAAAATTGAGAATTTGCAAACTGAAAATAATTAAGTATCAGGCAAAAAAAAAAAGAAATATGTAAATACTCACGTGTTGTTTGTCTCTACGTAATGATTCGCGCGAAATTTCACAGGCCGATAATTCCGATTCAACTTTATGATACTTTGCCTCTAAGGCAGCTCGTTCCTCTTCTAAATTTCGAATCTTCATCATTGTTGTCTCCACCAATTCAGATTGACGATTCACTGACTCTGTGGTTACATTAACTTTCTCCTTAAGATTTTGTATTTTCTATGATAGAAAATTATTGTCAGGTAAATATTATTAAAAAAAAAATTCTATAAGAAAAAGTCTGACTTAAATTTACTATTACTACTTTTTACTACTACTAAAACAATATTTGCGGGTATTCGAAAGTTTGACTAAAACTAGTTTCGACTATTGATACAATAATTACCACCGAATTCAAAGCAATGTCTGACTGAAACTATTTTATACTACTGAAAGAAAATTTACAACAAATTTTGTGTCTATATGAAACTGGGTTTTACTACTAATACAAAAAAATCCAAACAATGTCTGACTAAAACTGTCTTGTACTACTGAAAGTAAATTTGCAAGAATTTGAATGTCTGATTGAAACTAAAATTTACTACTGATACAAAATTCCCAATAATTAAGATGTTTAAAACTAACATAATCTAAAATTATAGATTTTCAAAATAGGAATAAAATCATTTTTACTTGAAATATTATGATTATTCTTATTTTGAGAGGATAATGTTAAAAAATTACCAAAAAAAATTGTTTAAATCAAAAATTTGATTGATTTTATAAATAAATAATTTCTTTAGTGCAAATAATACCACAGCTTGATCCTTATTATCGGCGAGAATTTCTCTTATTCGATCTTTAATTGCATTTTCATGTGATTCAACAAAACGATTTGGCGTGCTTAAAAGTATAGCCATTGACTCCAACAGATGACGCAATTCATTATGTACCCTCTGTATTTTTTCTTCCTTAATTTTCAGATCCTCTGGAAAAAATTATTTTTTTTGTTGCTTATCCTTTTAAATATATTCTCTCGGACGTTAAAGAATTATATTAATTATTTTTTGCAAATTTTTAATTATAATAAGAAAAAAAATGGAAAATATATTTTTGAAAAAAACATTATTAACCTCGTAATTGGCAAATTAAAGCTTCCTGACTGGATATATTTCCGCTCGCGCTTGTTATGCTTCGATTCGCATTAACCAGCTTGTCTCTGAGATCATTCAACTCTCGTTCAGCAACTCTGTATTGCATCTCAAGACATTCTTTTTCCTGGAATTGAGAATGGAAACAATTTTTTTTTGTGATTTTTCGCGTCATTTTTTTACAAAAACTACGAGAACATAATTTTTAATTTTTGTATTTTTATTCTCCCCTCCAAATAAAAAGTGGAATAAATTCGGACAAACCTGACGGAAACGATCCAAGTCAATTAATTGTGTGGCAACTTGTCGTTGTAGTTGATCTTTCTCGGATGTAATTCGATCAAGAGAATCCTTACAAGTTCTAAAATCAATTTCAACACTACCCAAATGAGTCTCGACAGTTGTGCTTTTAGTACGAAGACGATTAACTTCCTGAACAAGTTCTTCAGCTTTATGAATCACCATTTCTGGACTGTGATGTGTACTGTCGCAAAATTCGGTATTTAAAGCGTGTGCCAGCCTTCTAACAAAATCCTATAATTTGAAAAAAATACATTTTCGAACGAAAAAAGAATTTAATTGAAAGAAATAAATATTTTATTGATTCAACAAAAATTTGGGTTGTTTTAAACAAATTTTTTTCTAAATGTAAGAATTGTTATAAAATAATTTTTTTATTTTGTCATATATTTGAATAAAAAAAATAATAAACCTGTAAATTTAAGCGCGCTCGTTCTTTTAACTGAATTTCTTCTGTGATATTGTGTTCTAGTTGACGAATTTTCTTTTCATATTCTCGTACCTTTTCCTCGTGATATTTTACATCACGTTGCAAACCTTGAATTGTGATTTCATTTCTACCTTGACATGCATATAAATTTCTCTCTCTATCCTCTAGTTCCTTTAAAAAAAATAGAAAAAAATTTAATTTTATAAAATGACAATTATTATTACTATAAAAAAATCATAATAAATTTATCAAAAATTAAAAAATGGCGGACGAAAAAATTTTAAAATAGTTGCCTGTATTCGTTTTTTAAGACTCAAAATAACAGAATTTTGTCGTGCTGCTTGTTCTCGTAGCTGATCAGCTTCTACTTGAAGTTCCACGACCCTTTGGTCTCGTGATCTTACAGCGTTCTTCATTTCTTGAAGCTGAAAAGAAAATTACAATAAATAGAAATTCGCTATTTATTTTATACATATTTTTTTTAGCTTTTTTTTTTAGCTCACTTCGGACATTAATCTATCACGTTTGTATTCCAATGCTGCCAATTCGCTTCTTAAGGCCGTTGTCACCTCATGTGTCATTGCCTCCTCAGAGTCAATCTTTAAATAAAAAAAAGATGGATTTATCATTTAAAAATTTAAGAAAAAAATTGACAATTTTTTAAAATACTCTTACGCAAAAAAAATTTTGATAATAAATAATTCGAGTTTGAGAACACAATTTTAGGGGATTAGATCCTAGCTTGCAACTGATTTAAGGTATATAACAAAATGATCTTTTGTAGAAAATTTTCCAGGTCATATATAGATGCGCACGATATTTCTACAGAGCTGTTTATATAGGACAAAAGATTACGTGACTTGAATTCGTGCAATGCACGAAGAGTCTACGGTCAAAACCTCTATTATAATATGAAATTTGCAATGTGCAGTGGATTTAAATATATATTTTGAAAACAAACATTTATATGATACATAGATATTTTTATAATTTATCAGCATTTTAATTATTGAATATTCTTTTAAACATCAACAAACAATTGTTTAAATAAATAAATTGTTTTTTTTAATATTGAACTAGATCTCAGATGTTCAAGAATTGTTTATTTAAAATCGAACATATTATTTTTGATATTTTATATAAGATTATGCTTTCAAATTAAAAGTATTTTTTTTTGTGAAATATTATTCTGGAGTGAAAATAATATATAGGTAACAACGACAGGTAAAATCGATCCCCTGTAATGCTATGGCAACACACCCTTGTTCTTCAGCAGGTCAATAGCTTTTCCATTGTACGCAACTTCAATCCAAATTTAGGCAATTGAAAAAAAAACAACAATTTGCCAAGGTATGAAATTCGACCAATTCCTTCACACCAAATATAGATAGACACTAACGAATTTTTTTTTTCGAACCAAATGTTATTTGAATTATAAATAAAAATATATTTATCTTGAAGACAAAAAGTTAATTTTAATGTATATAAAATTAATAGAAGTAGGTGTATAAAAATTTTCTGATTTTAATGAATCATTCATGACCTTCATAATTTCAAAAAAAAAATTTAAAATCAATTGATATGTTATAATGATCATATGTATTCATATTGCTATGAATCATATATATAAGATTCGTTATCTATGTCTAAAATAAAAAGTACATTTTTTCTGGAATCCTGATAATAATTATTTTTTGCAATCAATCGTTATAGATAAATAAAGTGCCGTATTTTTTTAAAATAATTTTTACAGCTAGTTTATAAATGTACAAAATTAAAGAAAAAAAAATCTTTTTTACATTTATTTACAAAATTATTAAATTTGAAAAATTGTAATTTATTTTATAATTTAAACTTTGAACTTTGCCCACATGTGACTTTGATACATTTCATTGGTAACGTAACTCACTTATGACCTTCAAAAAGAGCCAATAATGATAATTTTTAATTTAAAACAAAAAATTATCAATCAAATTGCGCCAAAAAATGAAAAAAACAATTTTGCTATAGGAAAAAAATTGATCAAACAAGGAATGTGATTTTGAGGAATAGCCCAAAGACGCATGTTATCTAATTTGTTTAAAAAAAAAAAACTTTAATAAAAATTCTCTGAACTATAAAAAATACAGTAGGAATAACATATTTTTGCGATATAATATAATAATTTAAAAAATTCATTATTTAAATATATAAGACGGCAATGTTTATACATAGTAAAAACACGTGACCTTATATTATAAAATTATTATTGAAGCGGTGCGACAAAAAGTGTTAATGACTACATATTAATAATATATTAGGTGCAAATGGTGCAATTTTTTTTCTATTCGATTTAAAAAGACCTTTTGCGACGAGATGCAAAGGGTTTCGAAGATCTTCAAATCATCATCTTCACTTCCGTGTGTTTCCTTGGTCTCCTCCTCCGCCGTTACCATAGTACTCATTTTTTTTTTTTTTATTTTCTTCTTTTTTTCTTCAAACCAAAGCAGCGCGCCGAATCTATATATATACAAATATTCTTTTGTTGCAAAATTCAATTTTTTTTAAAACAATATAGTTTGACAATAAACAAAAAAATTCAAATTGTCACTCACATTTTTTTTTTTTCTAAAAATCTAATATAAATATATTTGTGTTTTTCTTTCACACGAAACAATATGCTGACAAGTGTTTCCCTCGAGCGTTCGAATGTCAACACCGCTAAGCAAAATGCTCCTTCTGGGGTTGTCGGCAGTCGCCATTACGATTCGACGAGACACAAGATAATCGAAATTTATCGATCCAAAAAATAAACTAATTAACTTTTAGACAACTCTTTAAACATGAATTGCCTCTTATTTCTTATCTTCTTTCTTTTTTCAATCTATAAATATTTTTTTTCCATTTTGTTTTTCTTATAAACAATTTTGTATATATGTTAAAAAAATTAATTATATTAATTTTTTATTTTTTTTTTTAAATTTCTTATATTTGAGTAAAAACTACTATTTTTAAGATAATTTCAACATTTTCCATTGTGTACCCCTATGAATAGGCAACCATTTATGCAACACTGAATTGGAAATAGAATTTAAAAAAAGAAATTATTTTAAAAATAGAAAAATAAATTTTAACTATTAAAATAGTAAAAATAGATTTAATACTAGTGATTTAAAACTATTTTATTTAATATAAATTTACATTATTATTTTACCGTCGATAAATTACCCGCAAAGTCAGGGAAGAAGCAATGTTTTCAGCGACATTCGCTTTTATCTACTAAAGTACAACCTGATTTTCTCTTATTCTAACTCTGGTAAATTGATATTATTTTACCATATTTAAGTTCACTTTTTTTTTATTTATTTTAATTTAGGCATTTTTTTTGTTAATTAAATCATATTTCTTCACTGTCGAATTTACATTATTGTTATATTTCTTCAAGATAATATACACGTTTATAACATTCGATACGCGGTTTTACGCATAGAGATACGCAACTACCCAACCCTTTTTGGTTGCGCAAGAAAATTTTAGAGATTCTACTGAAACAAGGAAAAATTCGATAATTCAGCATCAAAGATGCCGTTTTTTAAATTTAGTCATTTAACTGGAAGATTGACAGAGAACAATCGTTTAATTCCTCTCAATCCAATCGTAAGTAAATTATTTTCTTAAAATAATTAACAAATTTTCCCTATTAAAATTTATGAATTTTTATTAAATGTCCACTTTTACGTCGTCTGCTATAATCCTAGTGATCAATGTCAAATGGTATTCTATTTTACTGAAAATATTATTTCTCTACAATTAAACTGTAATATGATACAATAATTATAAATTTATTATACAACTATTAAACATTAACCTAAATTTACAATCTTTCGAAATCATTAAAATTCTTCCACTGATCATGTAACACAAGCGATATATGTCTTAAGATAATTTTTCACTTGATATAAAGTTCAATACCAGAGCATAACCTCAAAACTAAAAATTAATTTTATATTGAAAGATAAATATGAATTTTTTGATATAAAATAAATTTTTTGTTTAAAATGATGTACTGAAGATATATAAAGAATTTTTTATTTATTTAAAAAAAAAATTTAATTTTAGAAACCAATTCCATTGGAAAGTGCTGAAATACCGGTGATTAAATATGATACAATAAAAACACAAGCTGTTAAATCGGCACCAGCTACTGGTACCCAGAAAACTAATTCCGAATATGGTCGTCTTCATCCAAAGAATCATGCACTTATGAAAACATTACAGGTGCGTTAAATTACACTGAAAGAAAAATAAATCCCTATTGTAAATTCCTATATGAGATCCCGTATAAGATCACTTATGCTTTCTCATATGAGATACTACATGAGATCTTACGAGAATCCTATATGGAAACTCATGAGACAAATCTCATGAGTGTCGATATAGAATTCTATATGAGATCTCACACAGGATCCCACATGGTAGTATGTAGTAGTTATTTTTTTAAAAAAAATATCAAACATATTTTAGGTTTTAAACACAAAATATTTTTTGCTTTATATAAAATGAACTCAAAATTTTGTCCGATTTTGCGTATCTCTTACCGTTTTTGAGATATTCGCAAATTTTATTTTTCAAATTTTGACCCCATATGGGATCCTATATGGAATCCTGTATGGACACTGATGAGATTTTTCTTACGAGATGTCCTTATAAGATTTCGTATAGAATCTCATATGAAAAACCATAAGCGATCTTGAAAAAGGATCTCATATGGGAATTAACAGTAGGGAAGTTATCATAAATTTTGACTCAAGTAGAAACTGACTTAATTTGAATCAGTGATAAGTATACCACTTATTCTACCATTCGAAGGAAAAACTGTTAACTCATATTATCGCTAAAGATGATTTTCGCTTAGCTCGCTTTGTGAATATCGTCTTAAACTAAAATATAAGTTAACTAAGTTTATCCTTTTTATGTCAGTATTTAAATCAATGAAAATACATTGATGTATCAGTGAAATTCCACTAATTTTTAGTAAAACATTACTATTTAAGTTAGTAATATTTATTTTTTAACTAAAATTTTAGTGAAAAATGACTAAAAATTAGTAGAAATTTTCACTAATTTAAATTTAGAGAGAACTACTGAAGTAACAAAGAAAATTTCTACATTTCAGGCTGATTTGGAAGCTCCCGTATTCTTGGCTAGAGGAGCTCCGGATAAAATTCTTTTTGGCATTACCTTTGCTTTGGTTGTAGGAGGAGTTCTTGAATCCCTTCGATTTTTAGTTAGGAAGGCCAACACTTCCGGTTAATATCATAAATGTTAAAATTTTGTAGATAAATGAGATATTTAATACCGTTCAATTTATTGTAACTCTTCTAAAACAGTAAAATATAAATAATAAAACATTATCTGTTGTCTCGTATTTATTTTCTATATATATAATTTTGTCTTTTTCTTATCTTATTTCTTATTTTCTTATGAAATAAAAAATTCACCGTTTCAAACAGTGTAAAATTTGATTAACATAATATTAATCTTTTTTCTTGGATGTAAGAATAATACATTAAAAATTGTAACGATTTTTTTAATACAGTCATCATTTGATATTGAACAAAGATTTTTTTTGTAATATAAGGTTAAACAGGTCAATTTTTACCTTATAAAGTACATGTGAGGTCATAATACATTTGTAAGTATAATATATAAGAATGTCAATTAAACAAAGTAAACTATTTTCATAAAAAAATTTTTGTTTCTTTAGAAGATTTTCATTGATCAGTGAAAAAGTTTTCTCGATAGAGTGGAATTTTTTTCTTTATTAATTATAAGAAATAAAAGATATTTTCACATTTTCAAATTATACAGTATTTGAAAGTCTAATGTGATAATTGTAAAAGTTTTTATGACATATGTCAGAAATTGACACAGAATATTTTTGAAATATTAAAAAAAGTACAATTATAATTATTCAAAACAAAAACTGTGGCACTTTTTATTTTAACTAATTCATTTTTGCTGTTATAAAAGACTGTGTGAACAATAATAATTCAGTTACTTTTAGTAAACTCTATTGAAGTGTCGTTACAATTTTCACCGGTGCAATCGAATAGAAGGTTTAACAAATTTAAAATGAATCATTATTTATAAAAATGAAAATATTAATAAATTATTTTGTTTTACTTATATAGACATTAATAATCTTGTTTAAATTTTATTAATTTCTTATTTATTTAATTTACTTTTAGTTTAAAATGGTGTTTTCAACTCAATGCATCCTGTTTTGCTTGATCATAATTGGGATATTTAAAATTATTGCCTACTATATTGACTATAAAGAATTTTTTAAAAAAGCTTCTTTACTTCCTGGTCCTAAAACTATTCCAATATTGGGTAATGCTCACCTTCTTTTAAAGAAAAAATCGAGTAAGTATAAAATATTTTTGTTTTACTCACAATTAGAGGAAAGTTTTGTTTGAACTAAATATACCATTTTTTTAAATTAACACATTTTTTCAAACAAAATTTGATTCAATTAAATACTTATTTGATTTAAATAAATATTTGATTATTATTTTAATAAATTTTTCAAGTGAAGAAAGAATTTGATTAAACCAAATGAACTTTTGTAATTTGTATAATCATTTATTTGTATAGATATTCTAAAGGAAGCCAATATATTGATTAAATTGTATCCATCGATATTTAGATTGTGGATAGGAAACTGCTTGTATGTCACCATTTGTGATCCAAAACTTATCCAAGTATGAATAATAATTAAAATAAATTTTATTATTTAATGAAAATTAAAGAAGTCGATTTAATTTAAGATTTAATTTTTAATGCGCATGCTAAAAAAAATATCTTGTAATAATTAAAATGTATGTAATGACAGTTGCAACTAATGATTATTATTATTATTATTCTTTAAAGACTTTTCTCTCGAGCAATAAAGTACTGAAGAAAGGTAGCCTTTATAAGTTCTTTCATTCCATAATAGAAAAAGGAGTATTTTCTACATCACGTAAGTTTTCTATATATTTCCAGGTTATTTTGAATATAATAATAATATAAATAATTTTAGCTCCCGCTTGGCAGACTAACAGAAAATTTATTATGCCAATATTTCAAACCAAGAAATTACATTCGGCTATCGATATTTTTAACAAATATGCAATTGAATTAGTAAATATTTTATCAACTAAAGAAAATAATGACAAATTTGATATAACAGATATGCTCAATATTTACACAGTACAAGTTACTGTAGGTAAGAATACTAATAATTTTTAATTCTTTAATTAATTAATATTTAATTAATTATCACAGAAAAAACCCTGAGCTCATTTTTATTGCAGTTCAAAATGAACCGCAATATTAAACAACATTGAACGTGGCGCCATCTATGTTCATTTTTGATGCGGTTCAAATTGACTAGCGATATTACACTGTATTCAAATTGAATCCAGGTTTTTTCAGTGTTTTTTCAGATTAAATAAAATTGTTTTATTTTTATTATATAGTAATAATAAAATCCTTAGTTCGATTATTATATGAAAAAAAAATGAATTTCATAAAATTTTTATATTATTAGATAGCTTTATGGGCGATTCAATTAATTTAGAAATGAATGAGGCAGATAAATATGGTAAATTAATGTCGAGGTTTGTAAAATTTATACATAATAAAAATAATAATAATTAATAAGGATATGTAATAAATAATTTTAATTCCTATAGGCTACTTCAACTTGTTAGCAAAAGAACTATGAATTTTTTTTTGCATCCAAATAGTATTTTTAAGTTTTCACAATTGTCAAAAGATACTAATGAAATTATTGAGTCCTTAAATAAAATTACAAATAAGGTAATGTAAATAATTTGTTCTTTAATATTAAATATATATTAAATAATATATACATATGTATATATATTAAGGGTATATTTTTTAGATTATTCAAAAACGAAGAGAATTCCTTAAAAGTGAAGATAAAGTAATAGGTAACAAAAAACAGTGAAAATATCAACTTTTTCATAATAAAAATTTGCAAGATTTAAAAAAAAATTTAATTTTTTTTTATATCAGGTGACAGAGATAAAACGTTATTTTTGGATAAAATAATAGAGCAATGTGATGATTTGAATGTGATCGATGATATTCAATTACAACATGAAGTCAATACAATATTATTTTCGGTAATTTTAAATTGTAAAAAATATTTTTTTTCATCTATATGAGAATTTTAAAAATTGTTTTTTTTTCAACTATAAAAATTAAATTTATCTTCTAATCTCTTATATGAACTTTTTTTCAGGCAACTGACACTACTTTAATTACTATTTCATTCGCAGTATTGGTATTAGTTACATTTCCTGAAATACAGGTAATAATAAAAATATACATTTTTCTTTAAATTTTTGATTTTTTATAAAATATTCAATAATTTTTAATAACAAACATTATTTTCAAATTAAAATTGTTATATAAATGAATGCAATGTTGTTTTAAAATGTGTCTTAGAAAAAAGTATACGAAGAGCTTTACACATTATTTGGATCTGCGGATCCTGAGGATAATCCAATTACAATTCATGATTTAAATAAAATGGATTATTTAACAAGAGTAATCAATGAAACTTTACGTTTTTTTTCTCCGGTTCCATATATTATACGAGAAGTAATGGATGATCTTAATATTGGTTTGTTTTTATTAAAACATTATTTCTTCATATTAATTAAATAATTCTTTATTTAAGAAAAAAGGGGATAAAAAAATTTTTCCAAAAATTTGAATATAATTTTATTCTCAGGAGAGTACACATTACCAAAAGGATGTCAAGTAATTATTCCAATTTCGAAAATTCATAAAAATGAAGAATTTTGGCACGAACCGGAAAAATTCAATCCTGATAGATTTCTTCCTGATGAAGTCTTACAACGACCGACTTGTTGTTTTTTGCCTTTTAGTGCCGGTTTAAGAAATTGCATGGGTATATATATATATTCCGAATTATAGAAAATTTCAAAACTTTTGATATTCACTATAACAAATTTTGATTAACAAATTAACAAATTTTTCTTTTTGTTCATAGGTTACAAATTTGGTATGATGGCAATGAAAATTGTTTTGGCAACGATTCTTCGAAGATTTGTTCTTACATGTGATGAAATTGTACCTTTACATGAGGTAAAACTAAAGCATGAAATATTCATGAAACAATGTGAACCAATTAAAATTAGAATTCAAAAGAGAAATTAGGCAAACACTAATCTTACAATACGCTCGGTTATTGGGAAAAACAATATATTATTTTTTTTTAAAAACAAACTTCTTGGGTTGAAATATAATTTTAATGAAACATATATTACATCAAAAACAATAAAAAAAACCAACAACGTCGGGGGTAATAATAATTTATAAATTAATTTATATTTCATTACCTTTATATTTTTCGGAAATGTTGAAAATTCAATTTTAAATTTTCTGTCTAAAAATTGTATACATTTCAAAAATATAGTTATTTTCAGTCGGCACAGAAGTGAATTTACTTATCACAAGTTTAAATTAAGCGCGTAATACAAATAAAATATTTCAAACAAAATCTTTATGTTAAAAGAGTAATAATTTCTATTTCTTATTATCCTGTACCTATATTTCCTAATCTAAATATTGCTGTCAAAAATTTTTTAATAAGTTAAAAAACTTGAATAATTTATAATCATAAATTTTACAATTTAAATATTTTTTTTACTCAGTGCATCACAATTTTAAATTTCCCGCCTTATTGTGTCAGATGATTGGCCAGTTCAACCATTTTTGGATTATCAGTAAAAATTTGTTTCTTAAAACTAAAACATTTATTTGTGTTTGTTAACTATATATAAAATTCCAATTTTCATTTCTTCGCTTGCAAATATAACATATTTATACTTCTAAAGTTTATTTTTTATTATAATTATTATGAACAAAAAATATATATAATTATGTTAGTTTTTATTTTTATTTTTCATATTTCCATGAATTTCCCATTTTCAACAAATAATTTCATTAGTTAATGACAATAAATAAAAGATAAATTCAAAATGGTTCACAGATGCATTTGTCTTAGAATATATTTTTTAATCTAAACTTCATTTTAAAAAAAGGAATCAATATTTTATTAAATAAAGAGACTTATTAAATTCATTAAACTTAATATTGCTAATCATGGAATCAAAAAATGGATCAGGAAGGCAAAATATCATTTTTCATCCTATAATTTCTTCTATTCAAAAAATTGCTCTATATGAAACTAAGTCTGTAAGTATTTTGTAAATTTTAAATTATTATATATAAATTTAAATTACAATGATTTTTCTAATAATTTAATATTATTGCTTATTTTATACAGCGTTTTTATTTAATGGGATCTAATAATTTATTGACTCGATTTCGTGTCCTTAAAATTGATCGTCTTGAGCCAAAGGAATTAATTGTCACTGATGACAAAATGGAATATACACAAGAAGAAATTAGAGATTTGGTAAATATGATTGATATGGGAAATCGAAATCGTGAAAAACGAGGAAGTACTGGAGGAGTTGCTCGAGTTGTTTCAGCATTTGGAATTGTTGGTAAAAAAAAAGACAAAAAAATAATAATTAACGCTCAAACATTACTTTTTTAAGAAAATTATTGAACAAATTTATTAAAAATTTTAGTCACATTTTTTATTTAAATTACCATCTATATAATATTTATCAATAATTTTCGAAAAAAAACACTGTTTTTAATATTCTTTTTTAAGTAGAAGTTTTGTTTTATGACCTTAAGGATTTTATTTGGTTTGATTGAAGATTTCTTTTGCAATATAATGGAATGTTTATATGCATGCTGAATAATTTTATCAGCATCACAATTTAAATGAAATTTGAAGTTGTGACTTGTATATTAGTATTTATTTAGTTAACGCTTGAATTTAACATTTATTGCATGAAACAAAAATTTTAATGCATGTGTAGAATTACATACCCCTATCATCATTATTGAATTTACAAATATTTTAAGTTAATGAACAACAAGTGATAGAAATAATTTAAAATTGTTTAAATATTAATTAATTTTGAAATAGTTGTAAATATTGTTATTTATCATCAATTTCTTAGGCTCCTCTCTGATAATTATCTGTAACTTCAATTTTTTTTTTATTGTATAAATGATGTTTTTGATTAAAAATTTCAAGTAAATAATAATAATAATTACAATGACTTGCTATATAACAAAAGGCAAAAGTAAAGAAACGAATAATTCTGAGGAAAACAGCGAGGAGCCTAAGCAACAAAAACAAAAGCACAAACCAACGCAAACTAAATTCACCTGGAAATTAAATTGGAACAAGGACGCTTTTCCGAGACTAGTATCAGCTTTTGGCCTTCTTGGTAAGGTTTTCTTGTTTGCTGTTTTAAGTAGTAGCGATGAAATTATTCCAAATGCTTTAGAGAATGCAAAAAAATACAAAAAATAGTGGTATATAGAAATATTTATTGTATAATGCAAAAAGCATGATGTTAATCTGTATTTTAATTTGAAAAAAAGCATGGATGGCACATTTTTTAATATTATTAATAGAAATAATATTATTTGAAAGATCTAAATAAAATGACAAATTTCTCCTTTACCTCTATCTTAAGGTTTCGTAAGATTTTTGGAGGGTTATTATATAATTTTGGTCACTAAACGTCGTAAAGTTGGTGTAATTGGACATCATACAATTTATAAAATTGAGGATACATCAATGATATATATTCCAAATGATTCAGTACGAATTTTTCATCCTGATGAACAACGATATGTAAAAATGTTTCAGAGCATTGATCTTAGTAGTAATTTTTACTTTAGTTATTCATACGATTTAACGCATACTTTACAATCAAATATGGCACCACCAAAGCATATTAAACTCGATATTCCTGATGAAAAATCTGACAATAAAAAGAATAATGAAAATATTGAAAAAGCTGATGATTTTTATAATATGTGGTCTTGCAGAAAAAGTTGGCAAAAGAATGGGTTAGTTTTTCAAAAAATTCAGTAGTTTGCAATTTTAAAAATAGAAAAAATATTTAATTTTTCTTTTCTCTAAAGCTATGGAGAAAGATACATTGATTATGGAGTTAGAAGTAATCCACATAGACGTTTTGTATGGAATTCACATTTACTTTCATCAGTTGAAAGAGAATTACACAGAGATTGGATTTTATATGTGATACATGGATTTATTGGTCAGTCAAATGTCAGTGTTTTCGGTAGATCTTTGTATATTACAATTATTGCCAGAAGAAGTAATAAGTACGCAGGAACGAGATTTTTAAAGCGAGGCGCAAATTTTGATGTAATTGTTACAACAACAACAAATAATAATTCCCTTTCAAATGAATAAAATTCAAACTTTTTCAGGGTGACGTGGCTAATGAAGTAGAAACTGAACAAATTGTTCATGATTCATGCGTCAGTTCCTTGTGTAATGGGAGATTTAGTTCTTTTGTACAAATGCGCGGATCTGTACCAAGTCATTGGAGTCAAGATGTTAGTAAAATGGTACCAAAGCCAACTATAACGTGTGATTTATCCGATCCATTCGCAGAAACTGCCGGTATAAAATTCTCATAAAAATTATATTTAATATTGAAAATTTTTAGTTTTACACAATTCTTACAGGTGCTCATTTTAATCAACTATTGAAACGTTATGGAGCGCCGATCATTATATTGAATCTTGTTAAAAAACGTGAAAAGAAAAAACACGAGAGTACATTGAGTGAAGAATTAAGTACAGCTGTAAAATATCTTAATCAATTTCTTTCACCTGAACATCATATTCAGTATATTAGTTTTGATATGGCGAGAAAAAATAAAGGGTACAATAAAGCATATATATGAAATATATATGTACATATTTTCTAAATTTTTTTTTTCAATTTTAGAAAAGAAGCCAATGTAATGGGACGTTTGGCAAATATTGCCAATAATGCAGTATTAAAAACGGGAATATTTCAATCTCACAAACCATTTTATAATCAACGAAATTTTCGCAATTTTGCCAATAATCCAAAAAAAATGCATAAAACTGATTCAAATTCAATGTGCTCATCATTATTGATTGATTCGGCAAAATCTTCAATTGATTGGATAAATAAATCGCATAATTATGATCATTTGAAAGATATCAAGATAACTGATAATTCCATCGATTCTGGAGGTTTAAATGAAAAAGTGAAAGATTGCTTTTCTTGGGGTGGTGCATTACAAACTGGAATAATAAGAACAAATTGCGTTGATTGTTTAGATAGAACGAATACAGCACAATTTGCAATTGGAAAATGTGCACTTGGTTATCAATTGTGTGCTTTAGGTATATTACAAACACCAAAATTAGAATTTGATTCCGATTGTGTGAGAATGTTAGAGGAACTTTATGAAGATCATGGCGATACTTTAGCATTGCAATACGGTGGTTCACAATTGGTTCATAGAATCAAGACTTATCGGTAAAAAAAAAAAAAATAATTTTTTTATTGTTAGTTTAAAACCTAAATTTTCAAATTATTTACAGAAAAACTGCTCCATGGACAAGTCAGGGTAATGATATTATGCAAACGTTGAGTAGATATTACAGTAATACGTTTAGCGATCAAGAAAAGCAGCATACAATTAATTTATTTTTAGGTAAGTGTTTTTTTTTTTTAGTTTCCATCAAAAAATATATTAATAAGCATTGCTTCCATAGGATTATTTATTCCTGAAGAAGGTAAACCACCAATTTGGGAATTAATAACGGATTATTATTTGCATCATAAGTCAGCTTGTAAATATGTGAGAAAATTAAGATTATTGACACAATGGTGTGATAGTAATGTTCTAAAATGTTTACCGTATGCTTTGGAAGAGATGACAAAAACATGTTCTGAAATTATTCAAGTTCAACACTCTCAAGAGGAAATGATCGATATTTACTACGATTATTATCGGTATTAATAATTCAAAAATAATAAATTGTCAATTAAATATTAGAAAAAAAAACAACTTTATTTTAATTTCAGTCCACATGAACTATCAGTACTTGCAGAAGTTTATGCATATAAAGTAAGTCATTCTGTTCGTGATTTTATGCCAAATTTCACGACAAATTTCAGTCCATTTGCAGTTCGTGTACGTCCTGGAAGAAGACGCGAGGAGACTGGTAATAAAAATATTAATATGAAAAATCCATCACTTACTGGTCAGAGTAGCACTGGAAGTACTGCATCTAGTGCTAGGTAAAAAACTTCTCTTCAAAGAAAGAAAATATATTGTATTTTTTTTTAAATTTTCTATTTCTATTTACAGTTCAAGCATTGATACAAGTTCAGACGACGACGAAAGTCATCAGATGCTCGACTCATCGTTAAGTATTTCAAAACATAGTTCAGATATGATTTCATTTGAATGTTTGTTTCCATCAATGAAAGAGGTTTATGGTACACAACCAGAGAATCCAAAAAGAAATGATATTTTTCTATATAAAAGGTGAGTTTAAAAAAAAACCCAGACAATTAGTTCGAAGAAATAAAAAAAATTAAATTCAATTATTTAGATATGTTGTAATTGGAAGAAATGCAACTCGCCCCATGGATCATTCAATAATTCGTTCGAAATTAGTGCAACAAGCAACATTTCCAGATCATGTGCCTATTAAAACTGAATTGCCCAAAGTCTCTGACACAAGTGTCAGTATTTATGAGCAATATGTGAAAAGAAGTAAAGTAGGAGGTTCAGTACCGAGACCAAATGATATGACACTCTATGAAAAATATGCACATCAACAGCAACTTCTTTTAGGAAATATTTCTTGTTAATTCGTCTTGAAATTTCAACTTCTCTTTTTCTTATAAGTACATATTACATTTGTAATTTTTCAATTGTAAATATGTAAATAATTCTAAGGAATAAAAATAAATTTATATTTAATTAAAAAAAAAAAAAAATTTGTTGAACTTATTCCAAATGTGGAACAAAAAAAAATTCAAATTAATCTCTATTTAGAATTTATTTGAATCGAAAGTGAAAAAAAGATACAGGTCTTGTTTTTTTTTTGCTTGTAGTAATGTATGAAAAATAATAAATATACATTTTCCATGACCTGGATAATAGAATATTAAAGTTTACTTTAGCTTCTTTTTTGGGCGGATATTATTGGTGTGTCCGCATTTCTTCTTACGACAATTGGTTGCACGTGGATGAAGACGTGCATAACATTTTCTGCAAATCATTTTATCGCAATTGTATTTTTGGGCCAAAATTCTGAGAGTTGGCTCAATGACACCACCACGAAGACGAAGCACCAAATGAAGAGTAGATTCTACAAATTAAGAATTTACTCAATTAAAAATGAATTTAAAAATAAGAATTAAAAAAATTATTCATTTTAATGAACGTACAAAAATTCAAAAATATAAAAATTTTGTGTCTTACCTTTTTGAATGTTATAATCAGAAAGGGTCCTTCCATCTTCAAGTTGTTTACCAGCGAAAATAAGTCGCTGCTGATCTGGAGGAATTCCCTCTTTATCCTGAATCTTGGCTTTCACATTTTCAATGGTATCTGAGGCCTCAACCTCAAGGGTTATGGTTTTACCAGTAAGAGTTTTAACGAAGATCTGCATTGTGGCTTATCTATATTAAAAAAAAGAAAAATTGAAATTACCTCAAATTTCATAAACAAAAATGTCACTCATACAAATAAAAACTCTTTCTATCAAAATAAACACAGAACTAACACTTGTTTTTATAATAAATTTCCAAATATAAAACTAATATGTAAATTATGGGGAAAAAAAAACTTGTGAATTTTGATCTAGACGTTTCGCATGTGCTTGACAGAAATGTATCAACTGTTTTATAACTGTTTATGACTTTCCTTTGTTTCATAGAATTGTAATCTATTTAAAAACTAAAAGTAACAGAGTACCTATCAATTTTTCACTATTCAGATGAATGAAATTAATTTTTTACAAGGAAAAATAAGAAAATAACAAGAGAGCTTACCTTTCCGACAACGTGTTTGCCACAAAACCTAACCAAGAAAAGATCCAATTCGTCGTTTCTATTTCACTGACACACTTCCGATTTCCGTTCCGTTTATGAACCATCCAATCAAAATGGCCGACAACAGGCGGGGAAACTTTAAATTTGAAAATTATAAACAGTTTTTTTTTATTGTATTATGAAAAGCGGAAATACAGAAATAATTTATTATTAACGTAACAAAATAGTAAATGTTCGTTTTACACTAATATTAATGTAAAATTAAATAGAGATTAAATATATTTAATATTAAATATTGATTTATTTGATATATTGATATTGTTTTAAATATATATTTTTTATTATTATTTACGTAAATTGTTAATAACGTAGATATAAAAAATATAAAAAAAGTTTTTAAAAAATGTTAAAAATAAGATTTCAATGTAAAAGAGAAGTAGCTCACAATAATATACACTGCGCCGTGTATTCGCGCATGAAATGCCAATACACTTTAGTAAAAAGAGACAACATTACATTTTTGCTGCATGAAACAGAAGATAAAATGATAAAACTCGTTGCATCTATAGAATTTCTGTCGAAGAATTCATGACATTTATATTTTATTTAGTCCAATAATCCTGCCCTTCAATGACAATATTAAATAATAGTGTTTTTGTAAGGTTTCTTAAGTGTTTTCTAATATGTTTTCCTCTAAATGTATATACTACATTGTTCATAGTTCATCAGAGTGTACATCAAATTATTTAACTAAAAAAAAAAAAACTATCGCTATTGCAATAAGAGGTTAGTCTATATGTAGTTATTAATAAGAAATTTGAAAATTTTTATTTAAAAAAAAGAACATAATTATTATATATTATTAATATATTGTTAATGTATTATTAATATATTAAGAAAATATATACCTACATTCAGTAAAATATTAAAATAAAAAAAATAATATAAAGATTTTTATTAAAATAATAAAAACTTTATTTTATTAAAAATTCAGAAATATATGTAGGAATTCTTAGTAATAAATAAAAAAGAATTAGCTAATCTATAAAAATTAATTAAAAATATGAAATTATAAGAATTAGAAATAATGGAAAATTGTATTTTTACCCTCTGCTAACTGCTGCCATCTGTCGACAACTTCGAGTACTGCTATTATATCCAAGACTCAACCTACCAAACTTCTATAACCAAAAATATATCAAGAATGAAAATTAAATTAAAAAACGCCTTTTTAGAATTTTTAACAATTTATATTCTAAATAAAGACCTATTCATAATGTTTACCGAAAGATACTAAAATTAAATATTTACGATTTGGTTTTCTAATAAGTCAAACACTATTATTTGGTTTTTTTTTTAAACAAACACTTTTCTATCCATTATTACGATTTGGTTTTCTGTAACAAAAACTTTATTACGATTTGGTTTTCTGAAACAAACACTTTTCTACGTTTTAATACGATTTGGTTTTTTTGACAAACACTTTTCTATGTCCATTAAAGAAGATCAATTATTGGTGATATACGATTTGATATTTTAAAACAAAAACTTTTTTATATTGATGCTTCCCTTGCTTTCACTATATATAAAACTTTTACGAACGAGGCATCCATAAAGATAAGGTTATGATTTAGTTTTCTAAAAATTTCTTTTTTGTTTATCAATAATCCTTTCTTTTGCATCTGAAAAAGGATAAAAAAATGTTAGAACGATATAGTTTTACTTTGTCGTCTCTGTACCTATAAATTGATAAACCTCCTCTGGTAACCAAAAACCACCTGGCAAAAAGTATAAAACAGTTACATTTTATAATTAAAAATCGTTCTTTCTTCTTTAATGATCTTTATGTTGTTTATATATCTGAAACAGAAAAAATAAAATATATTGTGTTTTGAAAAATGTTGAAGAATTATATATATGTATATTTATTATTAACAGTCGAATGATTGGCCAATTATTCATTGTATGCTAATCGGATGAAAATTTTTTGGAGGATATAAAAAGTAATGAAATTGATCCACCTGTTTTCTATCTATTGCCACTCATAAATTGTTCTCTGAATTTTCGTTCCAATTGCTAATGCGTATACGTCCATAGTATGATATGCGAATGCAAAACTACGATTCGAAACGCTTGTGCAACTTCCATTTTAATTAAAAAATATGCCACCATCCGTTGAATAATGTTTTCCATTTCCAATTGCGAGTTTCGTTTTTTTTTCTGCCCCCCAGCAGCTCCAGGACAAGTTGATTGACTGTTGTCGAGCGCATCGCGTGCGGTGTCGAATATTCCATATTATTGAGGTCGCGAATCACCAAATTCAAGTGAACAATGTTGGTTTTTTTTGCCAACTATATATGTATTTCAATATAGTTCATCTTCATTATAAATTTGATGATTTTTTAGGTATTGGTATTATATACATATATTCGTGAATAATTGGTAAAATGATCATCTGCCTGGATCGTCTGTCTTGATGTAAACTTGAACATGCAGGCCGCACGGTATAATTAACGTATTGCTTTTGAGAGAGAGAGAGAGAGAGAGAGGCAGCTTAGATTAAGTGTACATAGGGCTTAGAAACGGCCTGGCTCCACGTTGTGCATGAACTGAAATTAGTGTCTCTGTCAAATACAGTCGACAGTCAATCAAGTTTGACATGACTTTAGCAACATCGTTTGCATGTTTCCAAGAGGTGGAAAAGCCAAATTCACAGTTAGAATTTGGTTCATTATGAATTCCAACATTTTGCAATTCAATTCTCATAATTGTTATTTCATTTATCAACTTTCGTATATTAATTTACATTGTTAATATATATTGTTATATATGTCGTGAAAATGATTTTAAAATTAATATTTCATTAAAAGTGCAAAAATTGTTGAGTTAATGTAATTATTGAAAATAAACGTGATGAAACGTGAAACACAACAAAATTTTAAAAAGAGAAAAAAAAAACTATTTTGAATGTGAATATAACCAAGCCTATTTAATCCCCAGGAATTCCAATATCGAAAGCGTAATTTAATAATACTTCTATGTAAATCCCATATCGATGCCTCGAGCTTTTTTCTAAAATAATATGCGCGAAATGTACCATTTTTAACCATATTCTTTCTTGAAAAATAAACACAAAAATTGAATATGCAAAATAAAATAATCATTTTTGTTGTTACTTTTAATTTTGATTAAAAAACACAACATTTTTAAAATTAATCACTAACCAGGATACGAAATTTACATATTTAAATTATAGAAACTACATATTTTACGTTACTATGATTCTAAGAGTTAGCTACAAGAAAAATTGGATATTTGAAACTGAATAATTCGAAATTACCTAGATCAAAAGTCATCCGAGTCTTTATTCAACATCAAATGGTCTGGAAAATGTTCTAAAACTTTTTAAATCTTGGAACTGTGGCAAAAGTTTGGTTATATATAGTGGAGTTTTCGTTTTTTTTTAATGAAATGACCTGTTTCGATTTAGGTTATGTATTTTATAGAATTCCAGTAAGTTTTACTATTTCCACATTGCTTGGTGAAATACGTCGCGTCGAGTTCCCTGGACACACATCAGTGCAAAAGGAGAGGTTTCATCCCCAAAGCGAACTAATAATGGAAAAGCACCTTCGAGTTAGTAAGATCATTAACCTACAGAGACCATGGTGTGTAGCTTGAAATTGAAGTCTAACTTAAGGCAAAACTCGTTCAACTATAGTTAACCTTTCATGACATTTCGACACTTGCACCTAACCTGACAACAAGTTCCGCGCGCTCACTAATTTGCGATTAAAGCTCAACACCTATATATACAATGTGTGTGGTAATATATATTTATATCGTCATAAAAAAAATGGATTAAATTATGCGGTTGTATAATATATGAGAGAATTAAAACACAATGATGTATATTTTATATAGAAAACAGTGAAAAAGTTATAACCACATACCTTAAGCTGTAACAATCTCTTCTTTTGACCGAGTTTCGTCGTCGGTGCAATTAATAGTTCCTTGCCTTTAGAGTATAATTTGTACAGAGCACTTTCATTGTCGTAACACAAGGTGCCGCCCGTAAGACAAGAGAGGAAGTGCAATTAAAAGTTGTTGCTGCCATTGAATGCGGATAAGGGAATAATGGGGAACAAGGTTCTTAGCGGTGATTATAGTTCATTGAAAGATGAATTTGAAGCTTATGCTCTTCTTATCTTCTACTAAAAATAAATGAAATTTTAATCATAGAATATAGAAATTTGTATTTTTTGTAGTTTCGATATTTATTTTAGTAATTATAATAATTAATAAGAAAAACTAACCGCACACGAGATGAGTAAAGTTGGGTCTATAAAAAAGATACGGGGAGGGTTAAAAGAGACGAGTTAGATCAGCTTCTAGGTAAATGTATGTAAATTAAACGTCCTACGACTTTATTTAACGTTGGAGTTTAACGCTAAAAGTAAGAAGCTAACTTTCATGTTTGCGGTTGCCTCTCTCGCGTCTTTCTGATAAATCTTCATGATATAGATGTGAATATACAGTATACATAAAAATATTTAAAAACTTTATGGAAAATAAAAAGGTTTACATAGATTTTGGTTAAAAAAAATTTGTAATAATAATTACGAATAATAATATTACCATAGCAACGATTATCATCATAGCAATAATTTCTATGCAGCTGTTACTACGGCAACTGGTACCAAAATAGCTGGTACCAAAGTAAGTGGTACCAAAGTAATTGGTACCAAAGTAACTAGTACCAAAGTAACTGGTACCATAGCAACTAGTACCAAAGTAACTGGTACCAAAGTAAGTGGTACCAAAGTAATTGGTACCAAAGTAAGCGGTACCAAAGTAATTGGTACCAAATTAACTGATACCAAAATAGCTGGTACCAAAGTAAGTTGTACCAAAGTAATTGGTACCAAAGTAACTGGTTCCATAGCAACATGTACCAAAGTAAGTGGTACCATAGCAACTAGTACTAAAGTAACTGGTACCAAAGTAACTGGTACCAAAATAGCTGGTACCATAGCAACTGATACCAAAATAACTGGTTCTAAAGTAACTGGTACCAAAATTTTTCTTGTATAATTGAGTAATAAATTTTACGTAGTCTTATACGGATTATATCATTTTTATAAAATTCTACTTATTGTTATGGTTAATTTAAAGTTTATTTTTTTGACCCTAATTAAAAAAAAATTTACTTTCTTATGCATTGAAATTTGTCCTCTGTTTCTCTGCCCTGATTTGTTTCACAAGGTTTATATTACTCTTTTTCAAAGAGTAACAGTGAAATTGTGCGTGTAATTATAGTAGCTTGAGTGAAAATGATTACTGTTCCCCTGTAATTAATGCCACCGCGTTGCAAATAGCTTTTGAAATGCTTTAACACAAATGGCATATTGGGTCCTCGCATTCTTTTGGAATTGAAACCAATTTTGTAAAGATCGACTGTCGCACATTGATTTCCGTTAAGGTTTTGTCGTCAAAAATAAATTTAGTTTCTGAAAAGAAATATTTTTTATTTATTTCAAACTTCTCTGTGTTAGATGTTATAATAAAATCTAAATATAACAAAAATCTCTGATTGTTGATTTTTGAAAAGAAATATTATATATATATTAGAGCGATTTCAGATAACATAATTGTGGTTTCTAACTCCGTTGCCATCTTCCTGCCTCTGTCCCTGAGGTTAGCGATTCAATTCGAACTTGGTGAGAGCTACTAGGTCGCGAAGTTACAAACGTAACTCGAGAGAGTATTTTATATATATATATATACATATATATATATATACGAGGTGTTGCAGCAGTTCCCTTATACCGTAGCTTTCCTTCAATAATGGAGCGAGCCAAATAGTCTAATTCACCCAACGAGTAGTCGGCCATCCATGGCACTGAATATGCATATATGTGCTTTAGCATAACCGACGAAGCTATAGAGTATATATACTTTAGAGGAGACGAATGTACTTTGTGTAATACTGCTACATTTTGCATGTTCCTACTTGGTACTATGAGCACTTTGTATCTTCACATTTGACCCATTATCTGTTGTTGTAATCTCTGCTATATGTATATATATATATAAATTTGTACAATATCATTGGATTTGCCACGACCGCACAAGAATTAGTATAGATTAAGGCACCAAAGCTTGTTATATGTTAATTTTTTTTCTATATGATAAGAAAATAGTGATTTCTGTGAATTATTCAGGAAATTTTTCTTCCCGTGTAGAAAAATTCTTTTATAATATCAATATAGAATTGGGTTATATAGAGAATGTGATTTGAACTCTAGGAAACTATTAGGATTCTCGTAATTTCTCAACTTTATTTTACATTGCGCATACTATTGACTAAATTAACGAGAATCCTCAAAAGGGATATATAATTTTCTTCAGTTAGAAGTTTATACGATCGTTTATAAGTGTTAAGAGGAAAATTGTATTTGCACATTAGAGTGAAAATCTGCCTTTTCATATTTGTGACTTAATCACATATGTTCGTATAAAACTTATCAGCTTCAGAAGAAATTTTTTTTTTAGAATTGTTAATTGTTAATTTTAATTATAGATTATAATATTGTAGATTGTAATTGTGGATTGTATTAAATATGTTTGTAATATAATATTTATATACAAAGTAATGAGAAATTTGTTCAGCTTTATATAGAATGTTGTGCTCTGTACTTTGAGTTTACTTATTCTTCCGCACCGAGTATATACTATAGCCTCTATCCTTTGGCCTTGAACGGGAAGCGTTAACCTCGGCGTTCCTTTGAGTACAACCGGTCACAGGACTCTCGGTCTACCACAAAATACGTACTCGCTCTCGTGATTGGTCAATGCCAAGTACGTGAGATGAAAATACGTAATACATTGAACCTCTATATAAACTCGTTGCATGATTCAATGTAATAAATTATAAATTGACACACTGTATAGAAAATCTTCACAAGCAAAATTTAATTTTATTGTCTTCAATTCGTAAAACGTAACCAAATTTATACTTTTTTCTAAATAAAAACAAAAAATTATCAAAACTTAACACAAAGAGTTTCGTAAAAAATTATTTATTATCTTCTTTTTTGAGTAAATAATCTGCTATATTAAATATTATAAAAGATTACACCTGGATCTACTTTTTTGAAAATAAAAATTATAAAAGAAATTATCATGAGGAATAAAGAAATACTTCAGATTGCTCAAGTACCACAAATTTTTTTCTAGATAACGGCGTATGAATATACTTATTACAGTGGAGGTAATGGAATTTCTCAAATTCTTTCTCGTCCTGAATCTCGAGTTCGTCTAGAATTCAAGCCTATCCCAACTGAAAAAAGGGTTTGTAAAAAAAAATATTCTGCATTTAAAATTAAAAAGAAAGAACAACTCAATACTTGGTTATTAATTTAAAGACTTATCAATACCAAAAGAAATGTAATGTTTTTGATCTGATCAATTTGATACCGTCAAGTTAAAAAATAAATTTTTTAAAAACTTGTGGGGGGGGGGGTTCTTATTTTGAATCGTAAAAAATTGTAATTTTTTGTCAAATTGAGAGCTCATTAAATTCTTTTTTGGTCCTTTATTATGCAATAAGCTATATGATGATGGTAATGTGAAAAAGCAATATTGATCCTATGCTAATTTCGCTACTGAGTTATGAAGGGCTTGCACTGAATAGGATAATTTATGCTCTTGTTAATTCCAACGATCGAGCTGCGTACACACCCGCGACCACGTGGAGCATGCGCTCTACATATTTTCACTGCGTCGAGAAAATCATATTCACGAATATTATGCAAAATGAAATTTCATCCACGACGTGAAATTTATATATATATATATATTTTATATTACCTGTATATGATGAGAAATTAACATTTCACCTCAAGCAATTTACTTCCCCAAGAAATATCATACGGACTTTACGCCCTCTTTACAACATTTCTCCTTTACAAATGATACTTTTTTTTTAAATAAAAAAAATGATTTCTATATACAATGCAAATAATGATTCAAAATTGAATTATATAAAATTAAATAAAAATAACATTTGAGTTGAATTTATTTTCTAAATAGGTCTTTGAAGTATACGATTGAGTTCTATTTGGCAATTCGGTTAAACGGATATATTTCTAATATATACTTTCTATTCTCAAAGGATCATTGAGAATGAGTTTCGATCATATAGACATTTGGATCGTTCAGTTAGTCTCAAAGCAATAGTTCGATCCTATTTCTGGTGTTTGAGTTCAAAAGTTGTCAAGTCATTCATCAAAGTTCTCTGGGTTGAATAAGCCCGCTAGGGAACTTCTCTAAATGCCATCAATGTAACTAAACTATTGGTGTAGGTGCTCATGGGATTAGTGAAAGATGAACTGGACACTCCTCTCTCTCGACTGTTCGAGATCCGAATTTAGTCGATTTCCGATTAAACGTAATCGTAAGCAAATACATTAATACTGGAGTCTTGATATTGACAAAATTGCTTGGCAATAATATTGTGTTTGAATAATCATTTTCCTATATAGATATAAAACAAGTTTCCCCTTCTATTTATTTTGTCTATAGAAAAAGAAATCGCGATTTTTTAAAATATTTACAATCATTTAAAATTGAGCGCGTTCAATTCTGTTTTCGTTATGAAGAATGAGAGGAAAAAGAACAGAAGATATTCACTTCTCTCGCGTTCCTCCTTCCTTGTTTCTTTTCTACCAATAGCAGCGCGCGTCTCGGGTAGGGAACCAATAGACACGTAGTATTAACCTTCGCCGGACTGGATACTTTTTATATACACGGTTGACAAGATCCCACCCAGGGTGGGCCAAATGTTTTCTTCTTTGTATATTGCAATAAAAACTTAGAATCATTCAGTTTTTTTCCAAAATTGTTATATGTTACCAAATAATATATTTTATTAATATTTTGTTGATTTTTTATTTGTTTAAACAATTTATTATTAATAATTTATAACTTTTTCAAATATACATACGACAGTAGAAGAATTTTATAAATTTGTTACCTTTTCTTCGTAGTTATTAATTCAAAGGTTATAAATAAAATAAAATATATAATTCAATTTGCAACAACTATTATTATAAATTGTTTAAACAAATAATTGTTGCTATTTATTAACATTTTCATAATATTCCTAGAAAATTGCAATTTTTTTCTAATTTTGCAACTTAACAAGCACAACATAATAACACAAAGATTTTATATGAATTTACTATTTAACCAATTGTTTAAACAAATAATTGTTGCTATTTATTAACTTTCTTTATAATGTTCCAAGAAAGTTGCAATTTTTTTCTAATTTTGCAACTTAACAAGCTCAACATAATAAACATGAAGATTTTATATGAATTTAGTATTCAAACTATTGTTTTAACAATTTATTGTTGTTATTTATTAACTTTCTTGTAGTGTACCTAGAAAGATGCAGTTTTTTCCTAATTTTGCAATTTATCAAACCGAATATAATATAGCCAGACAGATTTGACATAAATTTACTAATTTAACAATTGTTTAAACAATTGTTGAATTTACAATTTTACATCAAATCTATCTTTTATTATATTCGGCTTGATGAATTGCAAAATTAGAAAAAAACGGCAACTTTCCAGGTGCCATACAAAAAAAGTTAGTAAATAACAACAATAAATTGTTTAAACAATTGTTGAATTAATAATTTTACATCAAATCTATCTTTTATTATATTCGGCTTGATAAATTGCAAAATTAGAAAAAAACTGCATCTTTCTAGGTGCAGAACAAAGAAAGTTAATAAATAATAACAATAAATTGTTTAAACAAATGAAAAATGCAATATAATATTTTTTATATCTATTATTTGACATCATAAAACACTCACAGTGAAAAGTCTGCATGATTTCAAGTCTTTTTGTAAAATAGAATTACAAAAATATCTGAATCATCCCGGTTATCTCCGTACATACATTGATAAAAGTTATAAATAATCAAGAAGAAATTTTTTTTAAAAATTTGTTTTTACATTTTTTGAAAGTTCTTAAGATTTTGTTCAGTGACTTAAAATCGCGATTCAATTAAGGCAAAACTTTAGAAGATATGGCAATTTCAATTTGTCTGGCCCACCCTGGGTGGGCATCTTGTCAAGCGAAGGTTAAAGGCATCAAGTTATTTCGGCAATAGCAAAGCAAAGCTTCTTTTAATTTACATTTGTATTTTATTAACTACTGATAAATTTTTTCTTTCTACTTACAGATAATCTCGAAATGTGATGAAGATAAAAAAAATGGCAAACGAACAAGAAGCAGAAATCATAAATAAATATGAAGAAACAACTAATTTTAATACATTAAACGATGATTGTCTAATACTAATTTTCCAGCATCTTCCAATTATAGATAAAATAAAAATTGAAAGAGGTATTTTTTAAATTTCCCATGTACTTTATTGTATAAAATAAATAAATTATTTCATTCTTCTTTTAGTTTGTAAACGTTGGAAAAAATTAAGTAAAAAATCATGGTACACATTCAAAATACTCGATCTTTCACCATTCACATGGGGTTGGTCGCTTGATAGTGATAAAAAATTTATTAGCAACGAAATAATGCAAGACGTATTAAAACGATGCGGTCAATATTTAACAGACATTGATTTAAGTAGAAAAAGTTTACGTCTAACTTTATATTATGTCTCAATAAAAGATGTTTGTAAAAAATGTCAAAAATTGGAGACATTAAATATATCTGATTTATCGACAAATCGACAAAAATTTTCATCATCATTTTCTGATGCAAGAAATTTAATTACATCACTTTTATTACTAAATTGTGAAAATTTAGTGAGACTTGGTTTTGAGCCATGGGTTAGTAAATTTGATGAACAGGCCTTAATAAAACTTTTTGATCGTACGAAAAAATTAAAAGTCCTAAGACTTGGATCATTTGGTAGATCATTATACATGACTGGTGCGTGTTTTTTACATTTGCCCAGTGATACAATTGAGGAAATTGTCCTCGTTCATTGCCGTTCAATTTTGACTAGTTTTTTTCGTAAAGTAAGTCTTATATTTAAATATAATTTTCTTTTTATAATTCCAAAAATCTGATTGTAATTTTCTTATTTCAGGCTTTTGATAAATTTACAAATTTACATACTCTTGTTCTATTTCAATGTTTTATTCTCACCGATGAAGCAATGGGATCATTTCCATCTAATTTAATAACATTAAAATCATTAGCAATAAGTGGAAATTCTTCAATAACAGAAAATGGATTGAATGCTATATGTAAATTGGAAAATCTTGAACAATTCTATTTTGATGGTATTGCACTAACTACAAATATTCTCCGTGAAATTTGTAATAATTGTAATCTCACATTTTTGAGTCTTTCAGGTAAGTATTTTGCATTATTTTTTTAATGAATAAAAAAAGGATAATAAAATAAATTTATCATCCACAGGTTGTGAATGTTTACATAATAATAGTGAATTAAGAAATTGTTTAGAATTATTATCAAATCTTCAACATTTGGCCTTATCATGTACACGTTTGACTGATCTTAATTTAAGAAAGATAAATACATTAAAATATTTGGAAATAAGTACATGTCCTGTTTTAGAAAATAATGGCTTATGTGAATTAATAGAAAATAATTTAAATCTTGAATTTTTATTACTTGAAAGATGTTCACTTGTTAATAATGATTTATTGAATGCTGCGGAAAGTGCTACAAAAAAACGTAAAAACAATGTGACATTATATTTAAGTACCTTTAACACTGGTATTGTAGTAAATAATTTTGAAAATACCTCATCTTTATTAAAAATTTTCAAAAGCGTTAAACGCGTCAAAGGTACAAATAGTTTTACAGATTATTTTTTTCCCGATCGCAGGAATTTTGAATTTATAGAATTTTAAATTCTTAATTTCCAATGTTTGTATTATTAACTTAATAATTTATAGTTGAATAAAATTCATTTTTTTTACAATTGTAATATAAATTTTTTACAATGTGTTATCAATAACATAATTATTTTCCATTTTCATAAAAAAAAAATCCTTCATTTGAATTATCATTATGCTCGAGCTGTTTGATTATTCATTCAAAAGAAGAATTTCAACTTTCAGCAAAAGTAATAAAAAAAAAAGAAAATAATAATAAAAGTAAAATTTCATAAAAGTTTCTCAATCTAGGCAAAGAAAAGTAATTAAACTTTTGGTGGAGGATTGAGTTTTTCAGCGACAACGGATTCTCGTTTGATGCGAAACTTTGAGAAATACAAATCGATTGTTATAACATGATATCTATATATAAAAAGAATAAAATTTCATTTATAATTTCTAAATATGTTCAATTGTAATGTAAATATAATGCCACAACTATTTTTTTCAAAAATTGGACTAGAAAATGATATTTAGTTTTAAATTACTAGTTTAGTGTACCACTGTCGGTAAATTAGGTATGAACTGTATTTTCGAAACAGTCGATGATATTTTTTACGGCTTAAAATTAATTTATACTTGTTGATTTTGTTTAACGTTGAGAAGATCAAATTGTATTGCAAAACAAAAATGAATAAATTAGAATTCCATTTGTTAATTATGCCCGAATAAATAGTAATTATTTCTGTGTGAAGCGAGGCGAAAAAACAAATCAAGTGCATGACTATGTCAAATTATATATATATATATATACAAATAGATGTCGCATGAATACCCATCTGTCTATCGATATATATACATATATATAAAATATAATCTCATAGCTATAATAATTATGGTTCGACGGACATTTTTCAGTCACACCTTCGTTCGCTCACCCGACCATTCGACCGGAAATCGAATGAATCTCCTCCTCTTCCCACACACCTTCCTTCGATTTTGTTCGCAATTCCATTGCATAACGATAGTCAATTCAATTTTAATCGTACCAAAACTCGACGGAACAGTTAATTCCACTTGAATGACGGCTTGGCTTCGCGGGGGGGAGCATTTATATGATTCGTTCAAGCGCAACGAATCGTAAAGGTTTTTCAAATATATGTATAGAGTATTTTTTGTCAGTTTTATGTTTGTAATAAAGCCCCTCAACATTATCCCATATATATACGTTCAAAATCCGAAAAGAAGACATAAATGCTTTTCATATATTACAAGTGTTTTAATGATTTCTAAAAATAAATTTTTTTTTCATTCAAAATATATTCATTGAAGTAAAAAATTGTAATTTGAAATTATTACGATTTAATTATCTAAGAAAATTTTTTACATTGTAAAATTCATTAAATGATGATGAATTTGTTTGTTTTACGGTTTAAATTAAATGAAACATAAATTGGATCTTTTGGAGAAAATTTTAAAGAAAGAGAAGAAGTTTTTCTTCGTTTCTATGAGAGAGAAATGCAATAAAATGAATAACGCGACAGAGAATAAAATTTACTAAGCAGTCTGTTCTTTTAACTGAGGGAGCGTAGTTTGAGCACGGTTCTTCGAAAGTACGTGTCAGTGCAATTAAGACAGATTCTTTTTAGTTTAGAAAGAAGAATACACTTGAAGCATACTTTCCTAAATAGAGACTAAAACGAGAGAAAATGTGCATATATATATATAGAGTATGTAATTAGAACATTCCTTAATTACACTTTGGCTGTAGATTATCCTTTCAAAATTCCACTTTCAATGGAAATGTTTTATTGTTTCGTGTAAAGGACTTGATTAAAGTAGAGAGAGTAAAGTCTCTCCTGCAAACGAATTTCAAATAAAGTGTAAATAAATGTTTATTAATTTAGATTATAAAATAGTATAAAATTATGGTAAATAATATAAACAAAGTAATATGTTTTCGATGCAACAGCACAAAGTGTATATTATTCGCACATTTTCGATGGAATATTATATATATATATTCCTGATATTGTTATAATGGAATGACATAATATTCAAAGGTATAGAGATTGTCCTTTGAGTCTCCTGATCAGTTTGATTATTCTGATATGCTTACGAATATTACAGACACACATGCGGCTATTCGTAATATATTTCGTCTTCGTATTATATATATATATATATATATATATATATACATATGTCATTGAAGCAAGTTTAACATCAAATAGGCTAACATAAATTAGCGAGAGCCATTAGTACGCATTAGAACTATCCCATCATGATTAATATTGACCATGGAGACATATGTATATTCCATATTACAATATCGGAATATAATAATTGATATTTGATTAATATGAATATAAAAAAGAAATAATTGCCAAATATTAAAGTGATTCAATTTTGAATTAAAAAAAATTTGTTCCTCTTAATTATTAATCGGCTAAAGTCACGTCATTTTACGGCGTGAAAATAGATAATTGGCTAAAATTGCGTCATTTTACGGCGAGAAAATAAACATTTGGTTAAAGTCACGTCATTTTACGGCGTGAAATTAGACATTTGGCTAACGTCACGTCATTTTACGGCGTGAAAATAGACAATCGAATAAATTCACGTTTATTCACATTGTGAAAATGGTATTCTTTGTTTATAATATAATATTTAATTATTAGATTTGCTAGGCGAAATATGTATATATATACAAATATATGCCATTGGATTTTCAGAAGCCATTTTATAATTAAATGAACCCGGCTTTGTGGAGCTTGTAAAGTTTGCGAAACATGAAATTTTATGAGAGTTATGGAACTTCTCTATAGAGAAACATTTGCTATATATAGAATCAAGTAAATTTCAGGTGCAAATGACAAACAAAATAAATTGTATATTTTATAAGGTTCAGAAGACAATTATTGTGGAATTTATAACGAAGTTAGATATACACTTTTTTTTTAAATTTATTATCAAATGTAAACAAAAATTTCTAATTTGGTTACAATTTAGTTTTCTAAAGACGCTAATTTTTACTGCATCTAAAAAAGAAAAACTATTGATAATTCTGATGGATCCAAACTACTTTAAAACGATGATACTTTTGATCCAATTAACTCGGAGAGGTCAATTGTGAACTGATTCTTCCGCTGCACCTGAAAAGGCAAAAAAAATAATATTAGAATTATACTTTTACCTTCTATTCAAAACTAGGTAACTATAAAAATAATCGGTAAAACGTTTCTTCAAAAATAAAAACACTTCTTTCCCAAAACGAAAATAAGTGGAAGTGTTCTATCACTTGGTACACATAAACCTTTATCTTTTTACATCCTTTTGTAATTGATCGTGTCGCATTCTAGTATTTATATATATTTCAAGTGTTTTTTTTTTGTTGGTTTTGTTGCACCTTGCTAAAAAAAAGTCATATGTCGGTCGCTTTTTTGGGTAGCTTACAATGACGCGCGCTACTTTAGTATTTGTGGCGGCATGGCGCCGGATTGGCTACGAAGAATGCGGCGCCACGCTGATTGGCTGATGCTCGGAGGTGCGCTCAATAGCAAAGATTCGACTTAAACCCCCAGTACCCGGCAGAGCTTCGAACCGGAAAGTGTTCTGCTTGCGTGTCGGTATTTGTTTCATTTACTCACATATAAAATTCTATTTCTTCTTTACTTGTGTATGTAAATATATATATATATACAAAATGTGTTCGCGTGTGTGTGTTAACATTTTTATATAACTATTTCGTTTTTTTTCTTTATAAAACAGTGAAATATTACATTTTTATTGTGTGCTGTCTCTTATATTACAATTTAAATATTTTTAATTTTTATAATCGGGCCACGGGACCCCAGTGAATGTGTTGTTTTTTAGTTTGAAAAAAATTTTGTGTTTCGTGTATACAGTGACAAGTTTGTTCTTATTTTGGAAAGTTTTATTTATACCAGTGGAAGTGCGCCAACAGTTACTCCCAGGTAAGATTTTGATATATTTTTATAGTAATTATTTTTCATTTTCAGAATTTTCTTTTTTTTTACTAGACTTCTTTTTTTAATAAACATTTTAAGATGATGTCCTGCTCAAGTGTTTAGTAAATAATTACTAATTGTAAATGATAAAGTATGAGTGTTTTGTTTGAAACAAAATTTAGAAAAAATGGGCTTTTGTTGAAAAAAAAGAAGAAACTTGAATTTAATTAAAGAAATATGTTTTAATTGCCAAGAATATGAATTTGCGAGAAAATTATAGTGTATGTATAATGTTATTTTTCGTTAGCTCCCTCGTTTCCTTTGAAGTGATATGTCGCTTTAGAGTGACACCTGCAGCATGTGATTTTCTGCCGCTCCCGCGGTTACGTATATACATATACAAATAAAATAGGGGTACAGAACCCTACCCTCCGGAAGTCAAGTTTTGGAATTTACATATATGTGCACTCAGGTCAACTATATTTGATCAATAAATTTACAATTATTCGCAAAATTATATGTAAATCTGACTTTAAAATTAATATTATTTAATTTATAAATATACATATGAAAAAAATATATATCATAAATTAATATTATAGTAAAATACATTAATTTATTGAAATATATAATTTCCGCCAAGATGATTATTATTCATATTTTAATTTATTAACAACTTTAATGGATTTTTAAAAGCTTTTATGAAAATGCTATGATTCTCGTTGTGTTAAATAATTATACAGTATATGGGAATAACATTTATTTAAAAAATTAAAAGAATTTAAAAAGTTATGAAATAAAATTTTGAATAATAGAAGAAAAGTAAATGGATGATGAATTACAAAATTAACTGAAAATACAACAAAACAAGAAAATAAATTAAAAACACAAAATTACGAATAGTGGAAAAAGGATAAGAATTAAAACAGAAATTTCCCAATAGAATGCAAAAAGATAAAGAACCAAGAATTGACAATAACAAAAAAATTATGAATAACTATACTGACAATTTATACAGGAATAATTAAACAATAGTCGATAATTAGACTGTTTAATAAAATTTAATCATGCTAAATTATTTGGATTCCATAATTAATAATACGCCTCTCTCTCTCTCTCTTTCATAGAATGAAATTTGCATTTTAATGACAATTTTTTTTAACAATATAGAAAAAAGGAGAAATACACTTTTCTGCAATATTTAACCTGTCGGGAAAAAAATAAACAATACATGTGTGGTTATTGATAAGATTGAATTTTGAGGGAAAATAACGCAGTCGCGTGTTCTGGATGATATGAACGAGAGAGGCATTCGGGTAGTTCGTTGAACCCCAAGTGACCGGTTGAGGCTGTTTGGTTTCAGCATTGCGTTTAACTCACACAACCGATTTAATGCCAAATACCTGGATCAATTTCTGTGCATTATCAAATTTCAAGATTAACCGATTAGCCGCGAAATAAATATATAAGCCTCATATTTCACTATATAGAGAGAGAATATATTTCTAATTATGATGAAATCTATATAGTCCTAAAAGGAAAAAGTTTTGGAAATAAATGAAAAAAGAAAAAAGTACAACTATTTCGGTTTATTTACCGCACTGAAGAAAGATCATTTTTGATTGCTTCGTCACTGAAGAAAGATAAAGCAAAAAAAAGTATTGGTTATATGTTTATGATTGTTTTGAGGACACAAAGAAGGTCAAAACAAATGTTTAAAGAACTGATTTTTGAAAAGTAACTCTTTTAATCATCATAAACATGAATTTTTTGCTTCTTAGGTTTTTCTCTAGAGAATATATGTTATTTATTAAACCCTCATTAATGATGATTTATCCCCACTTTTTGTAATAAATTACATAGTTCCCACCAGTTTCAATTTTTTTCAATAACTATCGCCATAGGTAGTGGCAAAAATTTTGGATTATTTTTCAAAAAGAAAGATTTCAGCTGTTAAAACAAAATCAATGGCTTTTAGGAAGTAAATAGTGCTGGACTTAAAGCTTCCGTTTTGTCAAATCCGACCATAATTTTTAGATTGCTATCAGTGCAGGTAAATAGAAAAATATATCTCCCAAGGATATTTTTCGGGAGTCTATAAAGATTTTTAATGGAACTCATTAGTTACACGATACTATCTGTTTTTAAAGATTCTTAAGGGAGGAAAAAAAATAGTTTTCTATTCTTCTTTTTGGCAAAATTCCTGAATTTCGGACATTTTTATTGAATGGAACAAATTTTTAATTTTTC